GACACTGTTCTTGCACAAACGGGTGTTTGCGGAGGCGGCGTTCATCGAATCGGGTGGATGGCGAAGACGAAGCTGCTGCTATGTTTGCGCATCCTCTGTTTGGCGAGGAGGAGAGTATGACGGTCACTGCCTGTCTGTGTTCTGGTCTTGTCACCCAGGACATGGCATGTGCTTAGATGACCGTGATGAACTCCACGAACGTTCCGAATTTAGACTCCCAGCATACACGAAGCATCAAATAAAACGTCAAATATATCAATCTAGTTTTTCATCAATGTTAAGGCCCGCCAGGCAATATTAAAGAGGGACGAGGCCCGCGAGGCTATATTAAAGAGGGACGAGGCCCGCAATGCTATATTAAAGAGGGACGAGGCCCGCAATGCTATATTTAAGAGGGACGAGGCCCGCAAGGCTATATTAAAGAGGGACGAGGCCAGCGAGGCTATATTAAAGAGGGACGAGGCCCACCATGCTATATTAAAGGGGGGCGAGGCCCGCCATGCTATATTAAAGAGGGACGAGGCCCGCCAGGCTAAATGAAAGGGGGACGAGGCCCGCCAGGCTATATGAAAGAGGGACGAGGCCCACCATGCTATATTAAAGAGGGACGAGGCCCGCCAGGCTATATTAAAGGGGGACGAGGCCCGCCAGGCTAAATGAAAGGGGGACGAGGCCCGACAGGCTATATTAAAGGGGGACGAGGCCCGCCAGGCTAAAGGAAAGGGGGACGAGGCCCGCGAGGCCATATTAAAGAGGGACGAGGCCCGCCAGGCTATATTAAAGAGGGTCGAGACCCGCCATGCTATATGAAAGGGGACGAGGCCCGCCAGGTTATATGGAGGGGGACGAGGCCCGCGAGACAAAAAGGGGTTTCTTCTTGGCTGGCAATGTTAAACGGCGAGACCCGGCAGGCTAGCTATATTAAAGAGGGGCGAGACCCGGCAGGCTATATTAAAGTGGGACGAGACCCGTCAGGCTTTATGAAAGGGGATCAAGTGTCGGCAAATTGGCAGTCCCAGCAAATTTTATTCTGAAATTTTAACCAACACTTGTGTCTTTGTCTGCTTCTTGAAAGACGCGTGTACATTAATTTAGCAGTTTTTAGCAGATTATTTCAATTACTAGCTTCCTTCATGTTGTTTAATTACAATGTCTAGAACAAGGCAGAAAATTAGGACCAGTGAATGCAGATCCATGAGCACTAAGTCACCTGTGTCTCCACAACACTGAAAAAAAGACGCATTTCAATAAACTTAGTGTATAATCTAAACTACAAAAGGTGAACCAGATCGATTTAATCTCCATGATGCCGCGCTCAGTGGGGGAGGTTTTTTTCTTTTACATATTAAGCTAAACGAAAGGCGATACAAAAGCCTTAGTGAAACACTGAAGCTTGACGATGTGAATTGTCCCGGGGTCTACTCCAGCCAATGAAAGCAGAGAAACACGACTGCCGTTTTCTTATAATGTTATTGTGTACTGTGTATTCGATACCCGGATAAACAACCACACAACGTATTACGTTGACAGAACTTCACGCATTCAAAACCGCTGTAATAGCTTTAGCATGTTATAAGTACTTTAACCAACAACTCACAACACCTGTTCCTATCTCTGAGATGTGTACCAGGCTGGTCCAATACATAGACAAGCATCAGATTTTAAAAGGCTTCTTAAATGTAATGTGTTGACGGGCCGCTTTCCCTCTTTCAGCACAATCCACCTGGTGTCAAATATGTTGGTTGATTGGTTGGTTTGTTGTTTTACGCCGCACTCACCAATATTCCAGCTATATGACGGCGGTCTGTAAATAATCGAGTCTGGACCAGACAATGCAGTGATTGATATCATGAGCATCGATCCACGCAACTGGGATCGATGACATGCATCTTCCAAGTCAGCGAGCCTGACCACCCGATCCCGTTAGTCGCGTCTAACGACAAGCATAGTCGCCTTTTACGGCAAGCATGGGTTGCTGAAGACATATTCTACCCCGGATCTTCACGGGTCAAATATGTACACCCATGGATACACACGACCAACCGTATAGATTTAACTAATGAACCATTTCTAACCCCATGCTGTTTCATACGAGAATATTGAGACCTCTCAATTTACATGTTTGTGCATATATTGACAGATATGTATATCTGAATTTGTCAAAAACATGCAGGTTTTCAGAAAGTTGTTACATCGCAGAGACGCACGCCCCAGATACACGTACAACATCACCTCTACAGCAAGAACAAGATTGGGTGATTCTACCAAAAATGACACTATTTATACCAGCTTTCATCACACATTGAGTTGATAAATATTTTTTTTTGGCATAATTATTTTAACCTATGTTAATTAACGTATCATAAAAAAATACTCAGCAGCGAAGTCTGCACGATAATAATATATAAACAAATGCACAGACGTAAACAAAAAGCAGAATCAACATAAAAAACGTGTGTTTTATGATTTAATACAATAGTTTATTCTATTGATTGTGCTGTAACACACAGACGAAAGGTGTTTTTATATTAACAAGAGAATAGCGTGTTTTCACTGTGTGATTGGGATTCTAGAAGTAACGTTTTGGATAACAACAAAAACGACGTTTCGATGTAGATTCTTACACCGTCGCTCACAAGTCGCTCATATTATATTTTTTTAAAGTATAAGTAATATCAAAATGTTGGTGGAGAGATAATTTTAATGAAGACAAATAGTACATTATGTAATATGTAGTACCATATTTGTGTAAATTATAAGTTCATAACATACTTCTTGATGTAAAGTTGCTGTTATATGGCAATGCAGAGCAAATGGTTACAGATTAAGAAACTATATACTAGTATATGGCAGGACCGACAATAAATGTATATTATGTAAATGGACCACTAAAAAACTTCTGTAAACACATGTTTATCCAATGCATTTCTCTCCTTTTTTAAACAACCTCTCTCTCACTCTATCTTTCTATTTCCCTCTCTGACTTTCTCTCTCTCTCTCACTCTTTCTTTCTCTCTCTCACATTCTCACCCTCTTTCTCTCTCGCTCTCTCTCTCCCTTTGTCTCACTCTATCAACAATTTAATGTCTCTCTTCTACAGTGTTTGACAAGAAATAACAAATATGTTAGACTTATCAACAATTCAACACAGCACAATGATCAGTGGTGTCTTGATAAGTTGGAGAAGAAATAACAAATCTGTTAAGACACATCTATAATCCTGCCCCCACCCAGCAACAAATGAACTTTTCATTTCGTGCGAAACAGCATTTATCAATTTACAGAGAATAACTAACACGAATACCTATTCCCAGAACATTTAGGTTTTTCTGAGAAATGAAGAACACGAGATGGTCGAGGATAAAGAGTGTGAAATACACTCTCTCCCTCCACCCCTACTCCCCACACATTCACAAAGGGTAAGGACATGCCCATGCACATATATAATAAACAAGACAAAAGACACAAGACGTCTACGCCCTTCTACCAGTCAATGTGAACACATCTGTACACATTCAATAAAATAGCCGTTACACATTCAATATAATAGCCGTTACACAATATATTGAATTAGACAATAACCAGACATGCAAACGTACATAATAAAACACCACATCGTACATACAGCAAGACGCCGGCATGTGCAAACATAGTAACATTAGATTCCGTTGACCTAAATGTTTTTGTAAAATTATCTAACTTCCTGGTTTGACAATGTCTGAGCTAGGCATAAACAAAGTGAGGTATATGCATCAACATGTATTGGTAGAAATTGGAACCGTAGAGAGACAATTCAGGAAGTTGTTTCTAAATTTAAACTAATATAAATCACAGGGCATGATTAAACATGAAAGTTTATTGTGTTTATATATACGAGTTTCGTCATCGTTCAGATGTTTTATCTTCACAGTTGTGAATGTTTCTTTTCGTAAATATATACTACACCATGTAATGTAGATCCGGTTTGACGAACATTTTCGGTTTGTAATGGTGACTAAGTATAAGTGGGTTGAGACAAGCGTAATTTAAAACATGAAATGAACTGTTTTGTTTCATGTTATAATTCATATACTGAGTAATTGATCGTAGATTTACGTAGATGTATCAGAAGGGAAGAGTCACATCGTCACTTCGCAAGTCTTGTTGTAAGATCAAACACAGATATCAACATTATATATTGCGAAAGGGTCTCTAACGCTGTCTGTGACATAGAAATGCAACCACGTACTGAACAATATGCTTTGAGTTCATCGTAAAAAAAACTATATACTTCACCTGTTTGCATCTGATACCATTGCCGGAGGCTGCAGACTAACATAAGGGCATGGCTATTTTCAGGGCATTATCATTTGCAGAAGCCCGAGGTCTTCTGCAAATGATAATGACCTGATAAATAGCCTTTCCGTTGTCATAGCTATAATGGATAGAATTTGTTATGAAACAATAACATCGGTTTTGAAACATTTATTGCAATCAACACACAACGAATGTCACTGACCCACTTACCCAAGAACGGAAACGTCATAGAACAAATAGATGACGTAACTATTTCACTCCATATGACGTCACCTTACTACGAGCGTGAAAATAGTTCTTTCCATTTTAGATATCATACTAGTCAACAAATGTAATCTTTCTATCGGATCTGCATGTGATAATTAGGGGAAGGTGAGCGGGTGGCTCAGTCGTCTAAAGCCCTTGTCAGCTAGGATTATATTTCTAGGTATGTCGATGCACTGTCGAGGTGTTACATTCTCTATGTAGTCGGAGGATTGGGCATAACGTCATTGGACATTTTACTTCATTTGAAGTTTGGCAAACCTACAGAAACAACAGATCCTGAAGCAATTGCTTTGTCTCTAATGAGAAACTTGAAGACATATTGAGGTATATTCGATGTAAGCTTATATATCTAAGTACCAGCTATCTCCGAGTCCCTTAATTATTTGACGCACATTGTCCACGTATGTAGTTTGCAGCTTACTTCCTCTTCTCGCTGATTTGTCGCTGAGAGAATGAACAACGTCAACGGTCGTCAAGATATAGAGCACCACAACGCAAGTCATAGGCCATTGAAAGAAGACTACTGTAAGAGAAGACACGCACAAGAGTTGATCTGTCTGAGGTAAGTATTACTGAGGAATGAGTCTGCGTTAGTGTACATGCATTTTACTTTATCAGCACGGGATTAAATAATTAACATATTGTTAACGTTTAACCTACATGCCGCTTAGCGGGATATTGGCATTTCCAGTGATAGGTAATTCTGTCCTTGTGACTATATATCTGTCATACAGGTAGACGTTAAAAGGCTTTGCATTTTGAAAGTCAAACATAGCTGTTATTACATTATTATTGCATAACTTATTAAGTAATTTATTAGGGACATTCTATGTAAACATTTAAATAGGTATTTGACAGGAGCTTGGCAACTTATTGACCCCCGTATGCATCATTCAAATTTATGAGGGGCGGTCGGGTAGCCTAGTGGTTAAAGCGTTCGCTCGTCACGCCGAAGACCCGGGTTCGATTCCCGACATGAGTACAATGTGTGAAGCCCATTTCTGGCCGTGATATTGCTGGAATATTGCTAAAAGCGGTGTAAAACCATACTCACTCACTCAAATTTATGAAAATGTGCACCCGTAAATGCCAAATGATCATGAAAACAAACCATATATTTATGCATGATAGACATAGGACTCTGTACATTAGATATAAGCATGGATTATCATGCATAGTGTATACAGTTATATGTAAAAAAATGCATTCGTACCAGGAAGCCGTACCATATTTAAAGAATCATGTCACTGGAATCTACTTTAGGTTTAACAGGTCTTCTATTGTCATTATGTAGAATCACGATGTTGAAGCGGGCAGCGCTTAGTTCGCAGCTGATTCTGCTGATGATGGTGGCTAAAACTGCAGCATTAGCCTCCCTCAACGACAACACTGGGGAAATCAGTCTCAGTTCCGAACAGCTGGAAGCAGCTCTTACTCAGGCCAGAGTTCAGCTTGAGGAAGAACGGAGTCAAGAAAGTGCCTTTGCGGAATTTGGTAAGATACACTTCACAGGGTTATATAGTAGGTTGACATCTTTTGTCGTGTATCACGAAACTGAAAGCCTTAGGTCGAATGAAGGCCAGGTCTACAAGAGGTGTCGCCCTCGTAGATCAGCTTCAGGTCGTGGTCTGTAAAACCGTTGATATTGTTATTAGTTATAGTTGCCAATTTATTCCTCTTGGCATTTTTGTTGAGTGAGTGAGTGATAATACCAGGGCAATAGTGAGTTGGAAGTATCTAATACTCTTCACACAAAGAATAAGAAACATGCACGACTCTAAAGAGTCCATGTCCCAACGTTCGGAATGGTGTTGGTATTATTGAACAATGTAAATGCACACATTTCCAAGTAATTGTCCATACAATTTGGTTATATTTACATGTGTGCCTAGTTTGGGAATGTTTTGAATGCACACATATATGAGACTCCCATTGGTATATAAATATATACAAAAACAGAGTCCAGACATTCGTGCTTGTCAAAACTCCTTAATGCACACAAGATCTTTCGCCGCTCAACGGCTCTTCAGATGAAAATGAAAACTTTAACGTAGATTGTACTCAAAGGCGACCCACAACAGCTGTATGACGTAACAGCAGGGTATGAAACTCCCAAAAATTTCAGCCAGACCACAGGACTGGCTAGCTGAAATACTTGCCAGCCCTGACCAAAATCTGCCTGCCCACTATATTCATATATTTCTCAGGATTTTTTAATTAAAAATATGAAAACTGATTGCTTGTAGCATAAGCGCATCGCTAATTGTTAGGTTGTCTACAAGCTAACGGGGTTTCTTTTTGGTTACATTTTATCATTCATCTTTACATGTGAATTAATGCTTATCATCGGGAAATATGTAGAATATTTTCACCTATGAAATATAACCCGACCGTCGGGCAGGGGGATTTGAAAATCTAGCAGCCCGAGTTGAAATCAACCCGTCTCGGACGGTTGGGCAGGCAGTTATTTGGAACGCTGGTAACAGTGACGATAGAGTTCTATTATAGTGACAGTGTTATATTCCAAAGTAGAATTTTTTATGGATGTAAATACAGCAAAACATATTCGGGAAACATGCAGAGACCCGTTCTGCCACTTGCACACGTACAGGAAGTCGAACGGCGATTCTACATTGTCAACGTAGTTTTTGGCGATGCGGCCGTCGTAACCGACGCTACGATAAGCCATAATCGGTCCTGTCCTGTCGATGATCTGTGTTGGCCTCCTTGTTGGTCAGGTTTCCGGAGACGTACATGTAAGGAGGCATTAACTGTGGATGAACGGTCCTGCCCCGAATGGGCTTATCATTTCAGGGAATGTTTCGAAAATTTGCTGAATATATTACACAGACAAAGGAGATAGACTTTATTTTCCCTTTAAACATATTGAAACATTTACGTATATTGGATAAATGATTCAGAGGTTTTAATGAAATATTTTAAAGTATACTCTTTAAAAAAAAGAAACACAAAGCAATATTTGTGTGAGGTAGGAAAATACATTTATACGAGGAACCGTACAAGGTATTGAGCCAAAATGTTGTGGAGAGAACACTTGGTGATTGTAGCCATCTCAGTTATCGGTACATAGGAAAAGTCCAAGGTGAAGGTCAGCTACCATCAATAACACGTATGTCCCCCCGTTGGAATCGATAGCGGCCTGACATCTCTTGCCCATGGAAGAGACGAGTATGCGAATCACATCCTGGGGAATGGTAGCCCACTCGGCCTTCAACGTTAACGCAGACTGCTGCAACGTCTATCCAATTCATCCCACAGGTGCTCTATCGGGTTCAAATCGGGGGGGGGGGGGGGGGGGGGGGCGGTCGGGTAGCCTAGTGGTTAAAGCGTTCGCTCGTCACGCCGAAGACCCGGGTTCGATTCCCGACATGGATACAATGTATGAAGCCCATTTCTGGTGTCCCCCGCCGTGATATTGCTGGAATATTGCTAAAAGCGGCGTAAAACCATACTCACTCACTCACTCACTCACTCAAATCCGGGGATCTGGAGGGCCAGGGGAGAACATCAACGTTGTTGTTGTGTAGAAAGGTTCTTGTGACCCGTGCTGTATGCGGTCGATCGTTGTCCTGCTGGAATACACCGTTGCCGTTGGCTGCAATTGGGAGGACGACTGGTAGGAGAATTTCGTTGATGTATCGCTGAGCCGTAAGATTGGCCTGGATATGGACCAAACCTGTCCTGTCGTGATGAGAGATAGCCGCCCACCAAACCTGCCCTCCTGTACCCAGTTTCCGGCGTAACATTCTCCCCGACGTCTGTAGACCAATGCTCTTCTATCCCCTCGACGGAGGAAAAATCTTGAACCTGACATCTCTCCATCGCAGTTGAGTACATACCCTGTGTTGACGACACCAATGCAGTCGTTGTTTACGATGTTGTTGACGCGTTGAACAGGACGTCTTTCTCGTAGACCAGCTGCTCTTAAACGGTTTCGGACGCAGTCCGGGTATTTGGGATGTGGCTGAGGTGGCTGTGGTCGTCCTTTCACGTAGGTGGCGCAGTCGGATGTACCAATCTTGGGTGGGGGTGGTTACTCTTGGTCTACCCGACCTTGGCCGATCAAGTGTTGACCCATGTTCTTGAAACTGATCCCATAGCCTTGATAGTGCTGGGCGCTACATTGTAAACCCTGTCTGCAGCTGATTGGGATTCACCTGCTTGCAAGCGGCCAATGACGTTGTTTCTTTGTACTTCTGTTCATCTTGTCATGTTGTTGAACTGTCACTGTTCGATTGACGCAGATGCCAGGCAATAAAAAAACCTTCTCTTTAATACCGTTCATAGTGCTGCTGCACGTGCAGTGCGTGAAGCTCCATGGCTCTTTTGTTAAGGCCCATGTACGTTTTTCCGAATCGAACGTGTTTCCCGACTAATAGTTTGCATGTCCTTGTGATCACTTTTATCCGGGAAATTTGTCACTGACACCATAACACATTAAACCTCTTCATTTTGCACCTCTTGGTCACCTAATTTTGCTTTTATGGCCCAAAATATCCGTATTGCTTTTCTTTTTTTGAAGAGCATATTTTGCACTATGACAGCTGTTCGCTAATTACTGTTATTTATAGTATGACATTTATTGCCTTAATTGTTCATCCCCTGAGCTGTGTCGGTTAAAGTCCCATGTCCAGAGCAACGTCATTGTCTTTCCATTGTTGTTCATTACTATATATGTGTTACCATCACACTGTTAGTCAACTTTGGTATTCCGAATGCTGGTGTAGGGACGACCTAGAGCAGGATGTGCCGCTCGTAGGAAACGCCCTGAGGTGAGCTGGAGCTATGTGGTGAGACTTTTCTTTGTTTCAATGAGGCATTATACTTAAATTCATGGAAATGAAAAAAGCATACACACTGGCGAAGCCAGCTCTAGACAAGGCGAAGGCACAGCCTATTCCCTTTAATAAACCAGACATCTAAAAAGCAAAAGCAAAGCCTTCACAGCCCCAGAATGGCAAGCCATATGGGACACAGGTCAAACGGACACATGGCTATTCAAAATTCAACTCAAGATCAATATTCGTACCAACATATAGATTCTGATTGCTATAGATGCTAATTGCTACCAATCTGGCAGTCAACCGTTCACCTATCACCGAAAATGTAGGTGCATTTGAAACATTATAAATCTAAACCTAGAGCAGGATGTGCCGCTCGTAGGAAACGCCCTGAGGTGAGCTGGAGCTCCGCTCACCTCATGTGTGCCTGAGCTGGAAGGTCCGCTCATTGCTGTGTTTGTGTTGTCAGAGCAGGTATTCCGCTCATAGTGTAATTGTTGTTTATAGTTTACATCTTGTGTATAAAACGTTCCGGGACAGTGATGTCGATTTTGTTCTTGATTCCCCCAAGAGCTAATTTCAAGTTAAAATTCGACTACAACGTCGATAGTACTAGTATTAATATTTTATATGTTCTGCGGTCACAGGTTGGAAGAGAAGAAAAGGGTAGGCGCAGTTTGGATACGCTAATTTTATCTAACAAAAGAAGCCCTATTCTGCTTTAGATCATTTGATCTCCGGAAAAGTGACGTCTTTAGCAATGGAAATGTAACCGTCTCAAAAGAATATCAAAATTGTTTTCATGTAAAGAATTGACACCAGATTAAGGTATTGTGGCCCCGATCTTTCAGTGAATGTGCCTTTGAAATCTTATGACTTAAATCTATTATTGGATACACAATTGGATACAAAGGGTTATAAAAAAAAATCAAATATAAATGCAAGAATGCATGCCACGCCAACAACAACCTGTTCATGTTAACGCTGTCTGGACTCGATTTTTGTTTGAGGCACAATATGACATTCAGTCTGCGCTTAATAACATTTGTACAAGTGATATTTGTTTATAGCGCAACTGTATAGTTCTTTGATTATATCAAAACGCTTATCACAGCAAACTATAATCTCAATGAACATGTAAGGAGTGTCCCCAATGCGTTTCGCATTCACAATATTCAAAGCCTTTAAATTAAACTCACTCTCAGCCATTCTTAATGTGTTAGTCTCATGTGTAGGTTGACCTTTGCAGATAGTAACATCGTTAATGCAAACGTCGTGTTCAAAACATGGAAAAGGTTTAATAGGTTTAATGTAAACTTTAGTCCTGTTTATCAATTTCAAAGGCTGTTTAAGCGGAGCGGAGACTATATGAAAAGAGGCTCTATAAACTGTCTCTGTTAGAGTGTATGTCCTGGAGACGTTCAGGCTATATCGCACAAGCCCGAACTTCCCTTTGCACACTGGCAAGCCAGGCACCGTTCACGGTCGAGATCGACTGCGCACGTCCTAAGCAAAGCGAACCCATTCTTTAACCCTTAGACTGTATGTTGCTTCGTATGAAGGGGATAGAAATAAGTAAAATATACCCCTCTTTCTTTCAACAATGACAAATTTACATATCAAAATGCACTATTCTGTGAGAAAACAATGTGCGAAAGGTGCTATTTTTTCAGTGGCGTATTGTATTCGCGTTTCGGTACACATCTCATTTTTCTATGTGGTGAGACTTTTCTTTGTTTCAATGAGGCATTATACTTAAATTCATGGAAATGAAAAAAGCAGACACACTGGCGAAGCCAGCTCTAGACAAGGCGAAGGCACAGCCTATTCCCTTTAATAAACCAGACATCTAAAAAGCAAAAGCAAAGCCTTCACAGCCCCAGAATGGCAAGCCATATGGGAACAGGTCAAATGGACACATGGCTATTCAAAATTCAACTCAAGATCAATATTCGTACCAACATATAGATTCTGATTGATATAGATGCTAATTGGTACCAATCTGGCAGTCAACCGTTCACCTATCACCGAAAATGTAGGTGCATTTGAAACATTATAAATCTAAAGCCGGTAATGCAATGTTTCAATTGTTTTGAAATCCGTGACTTATATGTACAGCATATATGATTATTGCAAACATTAGAAAACACAGAAAACAATTACGATATTTGTATACTTCTGTAGCACATGTACCTAGTGACGTGAATATTCTTTTATGTTAAGACCCTTAATATGTGCAAATTGTGCCGCAAGTAATTTTTTTACGTATATTTCGAATGTTTGTCACAGTTACTGTTCTTTGTAGTGCTTGTTCTTTTCATTGCAAACTTTTGAAAAAGCCATGGCAATTGATGATTTTTAAAGATCATTTTAAAAGGTGAAATCAAACTTTTTAAAAAGAGAATAATTCATTTACAGTACATAAAATCGTTAGGATCAACAACTTGATTAAAGAAATATTGCTAATCGGTACAGTACAGTAAACTTTAAAATGATGTTTATATGTCTGTTTTAAGAATTTAAAACAATGGCCTGATACCTGGAAGTGTTCACTGCTTCTTCCAAATAGCACAGGGGCGGTCGGGTAGCCTAGTGGTTAAAGCGTTGGCTCGTCAGGCCGAAGACCCGGGTTCGATTCCCCACATGGGTATAATGTGTGAAGCCCCTTTCTGGTGTCCCCCACCATGATGTTGCTGGAATATTGCTAAAAGTGGCGTAAAACCATACTCACATACTCACTCACTCCAAATAGCATGATGTGGATTCATGAATATTTCTCTCCACAGACTTATCTGCGTCAGAACCTGGCTCCACAACGGACCAGCACAACAAGTTCACATTCACAGCACCTGAGAGTATTATCAAAGGAAACAACCATCGCTTCAATGTCCTCCTAGTTACAGAGATGCTAAAGGAGTAAGTATGCTTCAGAATTGACGAACTTTATACCATTTGCAACCATGTAGTTTTACACGGTAGACACATTTAAAAGTAAAGGACGCTTCGATTCATGATCATAAACCGAAATAACGTGTGTATTCATCATGATATCTTAAAACCAATTGATCCAGTGAAATCCCGTTGCTTTCTCAGTGAAATCATCAAATAAAAGCAACAAAATCCTTTCCTTGATCATAAGAAATCTCTGCTAAAAGCAGACTCAATTATACGAATCCGGCTTTATCATGCGTAAGTGTTTATCAATCACTATCAGATAGTAGATGGCATTTCCAAGTATTCGTGAGTGAGTGAGTTGGGTTTTACGCCACCATATTTCAGCAATATTACGACGGCAGACACTAGAAAATGGGTCTCACACTGTGTTCCCAGGTAGGGAATCGAACCTGGTCCTTCGGCATGACGAGCGAACGCTTGAACCACTGCCCCACCGCTCCTCTAAATTAAACACATCAGTGACTAAAATCATGTCTGATACAATCCCCTATTTTGACTTCTACTATGTGGTCCCGTGTGTGTTCAGGTCAATATTGTTTTAGCATATGTTTGTGAAGCATGCCACCAGTGGAGCAGGATATGTTCACCTTTTCATTACCACTATTTCTATTTGATAGTGATTCATCTACATATGCATATGGTGTAGTTGGAATCATACTTTTATCATATTTTTAGCAGACTCATACTTTCAGCAGACTCATACTTTTTGCAGACTCACACTTTTAGCAGATAAAAAGACGTTGTTGGTGTATGCAATCTTTAACATAAGTTGTACTTAACCTTTTAAGATATGTATAATGCTATAAATGAAGAAAACCGGCATAACATTTAATCATAGTTTTTTGTTTCAAAGCGTTGTGCATAGATATAATGTTGGAGTGAGAGTGTGTGAGTGTGTGAATCAGGGTTAACGCCGCTTTTAGCAATATTTCAGCATTGAGTGAGTTAGTGAATATGGTTTTACGCCGTCCTAGCAATATCCCAGCTATATCACGGCGAGGGACACCAGAAATGGGCTTCATACATTGTACCCATGGAGGGAATCGAACCCTGACGAGCGGGCGCTTTAACCACGAAGCTTCCACACCGCCCTTAAGTTGGTTGGTTTGTTGTTTAACGTCGCACTCAGCAATATTCCAGCTATATGACGGCGGTCTGTAAATAATCGAGTCTGGACCAGACAATCCAGTGATTAATATCATGAGCATCGATCCACGCAATTGGGATCGATGACATGCATCAACCAAGTCAGCGAGCCTGACCACCCGATCCCGTTAGTCGCCTTTTACGACAAGCATAGTCGACTTTTACGGCAAGCATGCCTATGATATGTATCAGTAGTGTTCCCTCCACCGATAATAAGCTGTGATAAATAAAAGTCTGTTCAATGCAGCCTTATGTGCAGGTAATTCATGGAAATGAATGGTTACATGGTATACTATTGCAGAGCGAAAGTACCACAGGAGTCCGTGCCCTTTGTGTTAAAGAAAGGTTTCGGCCCAGAGCTCGAGTGCGGTTATAGCCATGAGTTCGAAGAACAGTGTAATTCCTCCTCCCCCTACCGAACAGCTGATGGCTCTTGCAACAACCTCGAGCATACAACCTGGGGCAAGGCATCAATACCAATGAGGCGATGGCTGGATTCCGCTTATGATGACCGTAAATTCGATCACATTACACTTTCGAAAACAAATTGGGGTATAGGTGGCTCAGTCGTCTAAGGCACCGTAATTCTATGCGCGAAGGTGTGTCCATTTTGCGTGCCAGAAAACTAATATCGTGAGTTTGAAACCCATTATCGCCACAATAAACTTTCTATGTTTGTCAGCACCATAACCAGATTTCATAAAAGTGGTATTCGTGTAGGACCTGCATCAATTTAATAAGAGGGGATTTGAAATACATGATTTCACCCTGCAGGGTATGCATCATACCACGTCTGATCTAGCACGATACATATTTGGGATGCCAAGGTCCTTGTCATCTCATCATTCGGTTCTTTATATCGGTTTCATTAATCGGGAATCTGTTTTAGATATATCTTCCCCTCGAGAACAATCCCATAAGTCGTCTTCAAAGTTACCAAGTGCCCGCCTGGTCAGCACGACTGTCCACACCCCGTCAACAGACTCCGACCTCAGCAAGGAATACACCCACATGTTGATGCAGTGGGGTCAATTCCTTGATCACGACATCACCAGCACACCATCACAGAAGCGCAAAGCGTCGGAGGACGAGAAAGAGAAAGAGAAAGAGAAAAGTGGTAAGTAAGAAATCATGTTGCACTCCAGCACTCGAACGCAGCAACTGTCTTGAGGTAACAGAAAAAGCTTGTGGAAAATATTTTTCCACATGTTTGTTTTCTTCATTTCCGAACGCCACAACAACTTGAACATCCTTATTTATTGAACTTCTTTTTAAAAGGATTTTTAAAAGACTTTGGGAAAAACTTTTTCTTTTCTGCATGTTTCTAACTATTTGAGGCAAACCGATTTTTTAACATGCATAAATATGACCACAAAATCAAGACAACTGAAGTAGAACACGTTTCAGCTGTACGTCTGTCTGGGTAGGAATATGAAAATAAAATTCATTTCTAAATCATATGATTCTTAATCTGGAATAAAGCATGAAATACGGCAGCTGAAGAACAGAATACTATCGATCTTGAAAATATGTTTAAATAAAAGTGTAACCACCTTTTCAATAATAAAAGTAATGATAAAAAATGTTGATTTTGTTGACGGTTCTGTACTGCTGGACGGTACAGAAATAAATGTCAACCAAACGAAGTGCCATATCAAATCGGCACCGGCTTGGTTTCTCAAAGGAAGGCACTCAGAACGACCACTGCATCGAATTGATGTGCCGTGTGTTGAGAAGTTCAGCGACCCTGCAGAGTTCTTCCCTTGGATGAACTCGGGTGGCCTGAAAAGTGCAAGAGGTGGCTTTCTGTCACTTCCCACTCGAATCCGTCAAACCGATTTTGCATCAAAAGTTAATATGAATTTTAAATTATGCAATGCATTTAATGAGATTGTCCAATACATTGTCAGTGGACACCAACACAGTATTTTAAGCGACAAAATGAAGTATTTTATTTCCGTCTTTGCAATGCTTGTGACAAAGGTCTATCCATGGTACGACCACGAATATGTAGAGGGCTTCATGGAAAATGATGAATACAAAATTCTTTGGAATAGACCAGTATTGTCGTAACTGCTTTCGGGTATCAAGTGGGACCCTACTTCAGTTAATAAAAGTACTGCCATTCCTTGTCATCATGGTCAGTTAAGCCATGACTTTGCAACTCGCCTTTTCAGCTTCGGCTCAGTCAAGGAGGGATTGGTCTAACGACGCTTTCTCCGAATTGTCTCCATCAGCATTTATACTCGCATAATAAAGAAACGCAACATCAGCTTTATACTCACATTAATTTTACTTACTCTCAGTCCATCAATCAATACACGACAAGATCAGACCGGCCAGGCTCGTCACTAAATTGAGAGAACTTAAAAGGATCGGGATTCGACTCTCCTCTCCTATTGTTGACGGTATCATTTTATAGTGTTCGGGACTGGGCTGTATTTGTCACATGTCCTCATATATCATTTTAATTGGTTAAGAACAATATCAGACCATGAACTCGTGTTTGTGTCGTGATCGGAAAATTACCGGGACCTAGTGACCGATTCAAAGATGTCTATTGATTAATTGACGGAAACACCACCGGAAATAACCTGCCACTGTCATCGCCCTATTGATTTCCTGCTTGCTGCACCGACACTCCGACTTTCTGACTCCATCGTTTTTCAAACTATAACCATCAAATTAAAGATTTACTTTGGTACACTTTTTCTAAGGTTTTGGGATGTTTTTTTACCTTATAAAAGTATACTGCCACAGACGTATCCAGGCCAACAAACCATGATCTTGTCTTTTTTGAAAAATCCAACGAAAATTATTTTAATTATTGAATTCTGTCCCTTTTGACCCTTATGTGATGGCAATATTCAGGAAAAAACAAGGAATATATGCAGACCTCACAATGGTACCTCCCAATCTGTTGACTGACATTGGGGGAGTACCCGGGTTTGCTACCAGGTTTACAACCCATCTGACAATCTGGGTAATGCAGAAGGCTACAGTGTTAGGGAGTCTTCACATTGTACAAAAAGTTCTGTGTGGGCTTGACAAGGCACGGCTTCCTGGGAGAAGTTCCATTCGCTGTCTGGGCTGCGTGTAGAGGCTAGGGGCAAGGGCTCTGAGCTGATGATGAGCCTAACCATCCTGACCCTGCAAGGATCACCTAACGCCTCTTTGCTACATATTTCATTCTAATCAGTAAATAAAAATACAGACCGGACAAGCCATTTCCATTACGGTTTCGATAAATATAAATTGTCATTGCAAGATAATAACCAGCAAAGATTTTCTGCCGAAACAGATTCCGTTTGGCTTACGGACAAAATAGCTATGGAAATTATATGAATGGACCACTGAAAATCAAGTGTTCGCGAAAATGGTAAGCATGTCCTGCCCTACCGGTAGCATACAATTTGCATAAAAAGTTTTTTTTTATTGCCTGACGCCGCACAGAAGAAATCTCTGCTTAAACCAGAGTACATTGTATTGTTCCAACTACATGTATATCATAAGCACGTGTAATAAACAAGATAATAAATCGTTGCAGGTGCGTATGGCGGTTCTGTTGGATGCTGCGATTTTCATAAAGATCCTCTGGGGAAAAGGTGGGAAAATTACATTTATATCTTTCCTATTAAATTGTCTTTGTTTACATTACGTATGATATTAAAGTAGACACAATTTATGGATAACAACTTCTTGAATTACTGCAAAAAAACGACGTTTCGGTTGAAAACCTTATACCGTTGTCAAGCAAGACTGACTGAAGAACATAGTACAGAATGTATATAGTGTGATATTGTTGGCCTTCGTGATCAACGATATTTGTTTTTATTAGAACACATTATTATTGCATATGGTGTCATTGGAAATAGTTTCGTGATCAACGATATTTGTTTTATTAGAACACATTATTATTGCATATGGTGTCATTGGAAATAGTTTTTAATGAAGCATACAACTTTTCAATAATAACATCCCAATACCAACGATCACGACAAAAACGCTAAACAGTATGTTTTTAACTGCTGTACTACTTTGTTCAAAACAAACGTCCTCGAGATCGCGAACAGGATCGACGCGACAGTGAGGATGTATGCATATTTCGAACAATAATTTATGAGAAAAAGCATTATGTACATTTCTCGCGATAGTAATTCTATGATCATTAATTTGCAAAGGATTCCAAACAAAGTGCTCTTACCTCAGCAGGTGAACTGTGAATTCTTTTAATTTTGTTCAACATGGCCTCTTATTTGATAGGGCAATGGAAAATTGTATTTAAACAATGCATTCAATGTTATTATGTCGACCAAGCCATCACATTATTTAACATTGTTGTTTAACACATATTGCTATCACCCACGTTGATCTTGTGTTACACTGTAGCATCAGTATTTTGCTCTTTTCAGACCCGAGTGCTTCCCCATCGACATTCCCCAACCCGATAGACACTTCAAGTCCACCTGCATGAATTTCGTGCGCTCGGTTCAAGTAGCGAACGAACATTGCGAAGCAGGTAATATGACACACATCATTATTTGTAAGTCATAACGTTAAATAAATCGTGGTAACAGTATTGCTTTTGAGATTAGTGGTGTAGTCGTCTAAGCCAGTACACAGTCCTATAGTCGTGTCGGCCCAGCTGGTCATGGGTTCGAATCCCGTTTTGTCATCAAAATGTCACACCGTTTCTGTTGTTGTGGGTTATTACAACAGCAGGATACCTCGAAAAGCCTCGCAAGCTGTCATCTTACTAAATACTCTTAATGTGTAAGCCCTCGATAATGTCCAGGAAATATCATGTTTACACATAGATGAGGCAACCAATAATAGTTCACTGAGTCCACACGAGAAGAGAATGAGTACAAGCATTATCCAGTGCCATCATCCACTACACTCATAATGTGTGGTGCCGTGAGTTGGGTTTGAAGCCGTTTTGAACAGTATTTCATTTTTATAAGGGTTCGTCAGCTTTGTGTGAGATGAAGTCCGAAGTGATGCCTATCTTAAACGTTTACCATTTTTGTAAATTCCCGGAGCACAGGCAAAACAAGAGTCATGACAAACCACGGATCAGGGCGAATCTGAGATTCGAACCCACGACATAGGATTCAGGCAAGCCTGAGGGATATATCGCTCTGTGAATTTGTCACATGAATCAACTTGCCCGTGCCCCCTGTGGTACAGTAGCACATATTCGATGTACCAATGACAGTATATTAGTGTGCAAGCTTAGCCTCAATTTTGTAATTGCTATATTTTCCCGTAAAAAAACAAGCCTCGTTCTCAAGTGCGACCTACAAACAGTAAACATAATTTGCTAGCAGATGAAATATTCAGTCTCTAGTCTCTGTCAGCAGGATAAACAGAGGCTTCTACTGAAACATTGTGTTTTTGTACTTATATTTATTTTCCATGTTACGAAAGATATTCACTGAATATTAATGCTTTTCACCTGGATAATAAGGTTTATTTATTTCATGATGAGGACCATCTTTGATAAAACTTCTCAACTGTATGCATACCTGAAAGGGACTGCAATGAATGAGTGAGTTGGGTTTAACGCCGCTTTTAGCAGTATTCCAGCTATATCACGGCGTGTCAGCTTAATGTGGGAGGAAAGCCCGAAGTGATGCAGGTCTCAGACGTTAACCACTTCGGTGAAACCCACAAGCACGGGTATGGTGCTGACAAACCTAGAAACATATGCGGGGCGAACAGGGATTCGAACCCACAATCATAGGTTTCTGGTATGCCCAAGGGACGCAACTCTGCAAAGCGAATCGCGGCGCCTTAGACGACTGGGCCACCCATGCCCCCGACAGGGACTACATGGGCTACCATAATAATACGTTGTCTTACATTTCTTCTCAGGAGGAATGCCATCGATATCATTCCACCTTTTGTTTCTATTGTTTTTTTACTTTTTTGATGGCATAATTTCACAGACATTCACAAGAGGCAACATTCTTTGAGCCTTTAAAGTTTACATAATATTATTGCACACACAAGCCTAATTTGTACAAACGTACTCTTGATAATTTCCACTGAAAAAATCATTAGTTTTAGAGGTGTCAGAATTCCAATATATTCATACATTTCTCGACACATCTCCAGTGGTGTCACTTGCATCATGATAAATAGTTCGTAAGAGACTGGTATTCCAAGTGAGAGCCAAGAAAATAACAGTCAAAGCACACGATTTAGCCCTGATTGAGCATAAACATGCAATAGCCAAGGTAAAATCCAAATTAATCACCCACCACAACAGTAACAGTAGTATACTGCTACAACAGATGATAGGTTTGAGCCAATCATTTTACTGATAGAGGTCACGTGACTAAAATCTTGACTCTTTCCGGTGCTGTGGAGGGTTACTATTTCTTATCAAAACATACAAACAAATACATATTTGAGATATAAGTTCTGCTTTATTGAAGCTCAAATGTCTGTTCAGTGTGATAACACTGTCAAACTATGTCCTAAAGAACCAAATGTCAAACACCAAAACCTGTGAACCATCAGTTTAGACCCCTGACACACAAATTAGACCCTCAATGACATGTCAGTCAACACAAAGTTAAACAAATAGTGTTAAACTGCTCTAAAGTAACATATCTGTCACTATCATGCGATTCTATCAGTAAGGTGCCAGATTTATTTATGTTTCTGGCCGCTCTGTGTGGGACGTCTTGGTCACTTTAATAGAGAAACCGGGGACTGTCTTTTATCTAATTAAAAACATGTTTATAGTTGTAGCTCCCCTATTTTAAGTTGGATATAAGAAGCTTAGTGATCATTGATTGCAGGCAACATAGGAATTTGCCCCACCTCACCTTAAGATAGATGGAACCCATATTTTTGTGAATGACTTCTAACCTGTGCGAGAATATTTTGAGGTCATGTGACTTCAATAAACATGTTCGCAAAGCCTCTTCAGTGCATGGATGGGATATATTTTGGTATTATTTTGATAAATTGACACATGTGGACATGGGAAATATTTGAAAATTTGTAATAAAAGGTTTATATGAGGTAGGTGTAGAGCCCAGGATTTTTCACTTCCTGTGACAGGGACTATGACGTCACTATGGGGCTTTTAGCACTGAATCTATGTTTAACCTGTGTGAAAGCGAGGCTTGATTTTCCTTTATAAGCAGTAACATAGGCTGATCTCGCACACTGTATGTTTGTTCTAGCTCCCGTGGAACAGCTGAACCAGATCACAGCCTACATAGACGCCTCACAGGTGTACGGGTCGTCACAGGAAGAACAGAAGAAACTACGGACATTCGTTGATGGTAGAAGAATATATGAACGGTCAATTCAGACAGACTAGTTAATGTGGTCCAATTTTGTTATGCCTCTTTAAGTACATATTCACCAGTGAAGCTTTCGATAATATGATTTTCAACTTAAACATAAATAATGCAAACTCAAAAAAACCCAAAAACCTTTGGCAATTCAGATGATTCACAAGTGTCAAAGTATCAATAAATGTTTAAACTTATCCTATCTCACACCATGCATTTTTCTTTCTTTTTTTCGATTCTGAGTGGAAACGTGTCTGAAATAAAAGTTTCCAGCTTCTAAAGTTAATTCACCCTGTCAAACCTCACATCGCTACGGTCACTTCCCAGATCTAGGTCATGCGCGCTATGCATGCTGGTTGACTTTCTTGCACTGATCACGTGTCTAACCCAATCAACTCATTCTCTTTAAAATCGCCACGCAGTGCTGACGTGTTGTTATTACAGGAATCCTTTTTGAGTTTTTTCCCTTGCAAGGGATCTTCATATTTTTGTCATCTTATTGCCTGCAAATTTACTTTTAGTCATTCTTCATAATGGACCAGCTGTCCACATGGAGACCTATCTGCACTTTGTGCCGACGTGTTTTCTCTCAGTCTGACCCTCATTCCCAGTGTTCAGATTGTCGTGGATTATGCAGTTAGCTCTGCTCCGATCTACTAGATGAATCCTTCAAACTGTACCTGCATAAATGTCAGCGTCGGGTGTCAGATCGTCTCTCTAAGACTGCAGAAAAATCCAAGAAAACCAAGAAAGCCAGATCGGACGGTCACACTCATTGACTGGCCAGGATACTAGGGATCACACTGGTCCCATGATCTCGTTAGACAACGATGGCTTGTCTACGGTTGCTCCTGAACTAGATGGTGACATCGCAACATTAGCTCCTAAGCGTTTGTACTCTGCTTCTTCAGTGAAAGATAGGGATCTCGTTCACCTCGACACCACTGTTTGAAGGACCCTCCCATTGGTCTCCTCTATTTTATCAGCCACTGAAGCACTCTCATCTGCTTTAGCTCATGCATCCTCCTCGGAAGAATCCTGTATTCAAGGTGCTGTGACCCTCATCCAGGATAAAACGACAGCTCTACTTGACCTCCTTCTCACCATGCGGGATCTATCACTACTCTTTGTAGACGTGGGGTGTTACAACATTGGTCATGGGATGGACGGATACAGGATGTCGCCAATGAAGTCCAAAGAGACACTTCCCTGCAAGTCACTGTTGATTTACTCCGTCTCAACAAGACCTTGGAGAGGTTTTGAGTGAAAGGTCTGTTTTCTTGGCCGTGGCCGAGCACGCCAACATCAGCGAGGAGGGAAATCAGGCGGATGCTTCGTCTTCTCTTCATTCACAAAAGGAAACATCAACTCTCCTAAGTCAGGGGACACTAACCCCAAAAGACTCGCTTTTAACGGGACCATCCTAGGCTACCCATATGTGCCTCGTCTCCTACAAACAGCTTATCCTATACCTCTTGCCACGACACCTCTGACGACATGCAAACCGTCTCAACATCTGTATCCAGCCAAACAGCTTCCAGTTCTCAAAGATGCCATGAGCACGTTACTTGTAAAAAACGCAATAGAGTGTCTGGGCACTCGGCAAATGTCACCAGGGTTCTATTCTCCAATAGAGACTCTTCCACACTTTGGCATGACATCAATTGCTCTATTACAAACGATTATTCATCCAGGCGACTTCATGATCAGCCTAGATATACAAGACTTACACTTCCTTATCCTGCCAGAGCACCGCCATTTTCTACGGTGTGTGTTCATAGGCCAACACTACCAATGGCGAGTGCTCCCATTTGGAATTTATTTGGCCCAGTGGCTATTTACTTGCCTCACAAAATCCATCATCAAGTTCCTACACACTCGAGGCATCGTCTTTGAATCCTACATCGATGACTGCATTCAAGCCAACAACGATTCGAACACTCTACTTTGTCACCCCAATTTCACTCAACGCCTACTTCAACAACTTGGTGGGATCAGCAACACAAAAAAGTCCGAAACGATTCCAACACAACTTCTCCAGTTCAAGAAGTCTCCTTGCAACCATTCACCCCGACCCTCTACCTGTTTGTTGACGCCTCAACCGTGGGATGGGCAGCTGATTGCCAAGACCTACAAGTGGCGGGGCGGTGGTCAGCCAGCTTCATGTCAACGATCTAGAATTTAAAGCAGTGATTCTGGCAGTATCTCATTGGTCGACACTTCTTCAGTCCTCCACACTAATGATTCAGCCAGACAACCTATGGGTCGTGTGGTACATAAACAAGATGGGCTCTAACAAGTCAACATCATTACTATCGCTAGTGCTCGACTTCTTCAAACTGATCGACTCACTCAACATTCACGTTCGAGCAAGACATATTCCCGGCATCGCCAACATCATAGGCAACTCCCTGTCCCGAACCGACAAACCATCTCCCACGGAATGGCGACTACATCCCATGATTTTTCAGTGGATTTGCCTGTTATTTACCGACGTCGACCTCTTTGCAACCCGCTTGAATACTCAGCTATCCCAGTTCGTATCTCGAATCCCAGACCCCCACGATGCGTAAGCAATCCCATGGGAAGGACTACATGCTTACGCTTTTCCCCTCAACCGGCATTCAACATCTTGTTCTACAGAAAATATCAACGACCAATCGCCTTCCTCTACTTTTGGTCGCGCCCTATTGGCCAACATGCAGTTGGTTCATAACGCTCACTCTTCTTGCAGACAGGAGGTTTTACCATCTACCTCTAAGGGATGATCTTCTGCATCAACCACACCCTCAGCTCCGTCATCCGTCGCCAACAACCCTCAATGTACATTTACAGAAATCATTGATAGCTAAGGGTTATTCTGAACGAAGACCAATGCGGGGCCTCATAGATCATCTAAAAGCACTATATGACCATAAATGGAAGGCATTTGAATTGTATTGTCATTCACATAACATTTCCACACCTGCCACGGCATCCCCGCAACAAATTGCTGAATACCTTCACTATCTTCGATCATCTCGTAAACTAAAAGGTTTGACTCAAGCTTACTACTTAGCTGTGATCAATTCTATCATCACAACTACAACGGGCACTAAGATTTCCACAATCGCCGAATTACAATCATTAATCAGATCGTACAAGTTGGGGGACAAAACATCACGTTTTCGACCACCAACTTGGGATTCAAACATCATACTTCGCCATCTAACTTCGGCCGAGTACAAACCTCTTGCTGAGAACATTTCGAACACATTTCTTTGAAGACAGTTCTCCTTCTGGCCCTTGCAACGGCGGCTCGAGTGAGTGAAATTCACGCTTTAGACGTCAACAGAGTGCGTTTCGAATGAACCGCACATGGGGAAGTATTTTTGGGACTACGATCAGATTTCATCGCCAAAAATCAACTTCCTGGTCAAACTGATTGACTATTTAGCATTCCATCGTTGACCGCCATCTTAAACCCTGACGAAGACATATCTTTGTGTCCGGTACGTGCACTTTGAATCTATCTGGAAGCGGCAAAACCACTTTGTCGATTATGTAAAAGGGTATTCATCCCGCTCTCTGCAGCAGCTACTATGGAAGTATCCCATACCACAATCTCGTTTTGGATATGCTCAGTGATCCGTGGTGTCATTTCCAACATGGAACTTCACAGTAATTGCACTGTGACCGCAATCATGGAGGGATGATTTTGGAAATCCGATACCGTGTTCGCATCCCATTCCCTCCGAGACATCTCAGTGACGGACGTTCAAGACATTCACCAGTTTGGCCCCTTGGTACTCGCACAACAGATCTCCAAGACATATCCTCGCAGATAGGGAGATGTATAACCAGTTTTTCGTTACATTACATCCGTCTCAATTTATAATAAACATTTGTCATGATTATTTGTGTTTATTGTATTCATTCGGGCTTCCCAGACTGTGTATCCGGTTGGAGGATATAATCACTCGTCTGTAGAGACCTTGGTCTTCAACTTGAAGTCGTCATTAGACACGGACGATTTCGGTGTCCAGATCCCTTATTTCACACAACTCTTCTTTCAGTATGTGTGTTAAATAACGGTTCGATGATCCTTTTGTGGATATTGTCAATTGTTTCCTCTTCTTGTTTTTTACCCATCGATTCAATCACTGAGATGATTGAGGGTTTGACGAAGCGATAAAAGTGATGCCACGCTGGTCCAAACTATCGTCCTCTGGAGATAGGAATACCCCATCTTCTAGATTCGACGACTGGATGCATACTCTCTCGAATATAAGTCGTACTCGTTCGTTTTAGACATACGTTTACGCTTCCTTACGTTTGAACATGTTTCACATATTGTACCCCACTTATTGTGTTTCAATTATGCGCGTATCAGGATCTCAAGATTCTTTGAGAGTGTTCTTCTTATCCTGTCTACAGGTTTTTTTTATTATCCCCCGCCGCGCGAAAGCGCGAAGCGGGGGATATGGTATTCACGACCGTCCGTACGTACGTCCGTACGTCCGTCCGTACGTCCCACCTGTTTGTTGCCGCGATATCTCAAGAACTAAACTCTGGATTGTCTTCATATTTGGAACTATGGTGTATATACAGACTCCGCAGACACCAGTCAGTTTTGGTGACCTTGATCCCATTTTCAAGGTCACAGCAGACAAATCTGCTTTTAGAGTTGGAAAACGGTGTTGCCGCGATATCTCAAGAACTAAACACTGGATTGTCTTCATATTTGGAACTATGGTGTATATACAGACTCCGCAGACACCAGTCGGTTTTGGTGACCTTGATCCCATTTTCAAGGTCACAGCAGACAAACCTGCTTTTAGAGTTGGAAAACGGTGTTGCCGCGATATCTCAAGAACTAAACACTGGATTGTCTTCATATTTGGAACTATGGTGTATATACAGACTCCGCAGACACCAGTCGGTTTTGGTGACCTTGATCCCATTTTAAAGGTCACAGCAGGCAAATCTGCTTTTGGAGTTGGAAAACGGTGTTGCCGCGATATCTCAAGAACTAAACACTGAATTGTCTTCATATTTGGAACTATGGTGTATATACAGACACCGCAGACACCAGTCGGTTTTGGTGACCTTGACCCCATTGTCAAGGTCACAGCAGGCAAATCTGCTTTTGGAGTTAGAAAACGGTGTTGCCGCGATATCTCAAGAACTAATCGCTGGATTGTCTTCATATTTGGAACTATAGTGTATATACAGACACCGCATACACCTGTCAGATTTGGTGACCTTGACCCCATTTTCAAGGTCACAGCAGGCAAATCTGTTTTTGGAGTTGGAAAACGGTGTTGCCACAATATCTCAAGAACTAATCGCTGGATTGTCTTCATATTTGGTACTATGGTGTACAGGCGGGGGATATTTCGTCACTCTGTGACAAATACTTGTTTTTTTTAATTTTGTCTCTTGACACTTAACTGTGTTACTGTAATAAGTATTGTACCACTGTTAAGTTCCAGCTTCCTCGTAAATATCCTACGGTTGTGTATATAGACAAGGGAGTTGCGCCCCACCATCCAACCATGGGATAAAATGCATAGTGTGAGATAGGAAAAGTATAAAAAAATTAAAATTTTATTATAAATTGTATATTTATATACTTATCCTATCTCACACGTTATATGCCCACCCGTTCATCCCCGCATCGCAAGTCCTTAGTCTATATGCTCTTGAAAGAGAATAAGTTGACTGGGACAGACACGTGATCAGTGCAAGAAGGTCAACCAGCATGCATAGTGCGATGACCCAGACCTGAGAGGTGACCCTGGCGATGTGAGGTATGACAGGGTTAATTAACTTTAGAAGCTGGAAATGTTTGTTTGAGACACGTTTCCACTCAGAATCGAAAAAAGAAAGAGAAATGCATAGTGTGAGATAGGATACGTATATAAATATACAATTTTTCACAAAATTTTCAATCCCGGGTTGAAATGACAGGGTTAGGAAATGGTGGGGATTTTCGGATCAGGAATATTGTCATCAGCTCTGTTGTTGAAACAAAGTCGCACTTCCATCTACGTCATGAACCATTGATGAGGTAACCTTCAAAATTTGAGTGAATACAATGAAATGACGCTATTTTAACAATCACGCCAATGGAACAATAGGGCATGGACGAAACAGTAATCACGAAGCACGTATATTAATTAACAGTGAAACATTTTTGGGTTAACGTCATCGCCAGAATATGTTCAGTCTCGATTTATTTGACGAAAAATGATTTCATTGGGGGTAAAAAGTGAAAATTATATAAACAGATGACTGAAAATCAGTGATGACACCAGGTGTTCGTGAAAAGGTTGCCCATTCTCTAAATGCTACAATAGGAAAAATTAGTGGTAATGTTGAAATAGGAAATGAACAAATACTTGGTTTGGTCATAGAATATTAATCGCAGTAAGTCTATCTGAACTCAATCAAGTCTTTCTGGAAGTTGTTTTAAGTACATTGCACCTTGTTTCAGGTCAGCTGAAGATGAAATTGACTCACTTGCCGAAAGATTCGCAACCAAGCTGTACCACACCAAACAGCCCTAGTTACTGTTTCCTAGCAGGTAGGAAGAGCGTGTAGAATTTTCACCCACCTCTATAAAAATCTAGTATCTTCCCTCGATCGCGGCACCGGCCCATGTAGAGCACAAGTTGTGCCCCTTTCGGTTAAAACATGATATCAAATCAGATCGCTTATTTCGAATGGCCTCACCAAGACGGCGAAAACCTGGTCGATCACATAAGGGAAAGATTCGAGTTTTCATCCCTGACACACAAAGAAAAAGATACCTGTCATTTCCGCATTTCGGGGTTCACGGACACCAAAGTATCAAGTAACACTGCAGATCGCGGTAACAAGCAACGTTCAGCATGGGTCGTAGAGAATAGCACTGCAGCTCAGTCACTGCGACAAGCGTTCAAATACAAAGGTTTGCGCTGACTTGGTTGATGCATGTCATCGTTTCCTAATTGCCTGGATCGATGCTCATGATGTCAATCACTGGAATGTCTGGTCCAGCCTCGATTATTTACAGACCGTTATATAGCTGGAATATTGCTTATCCATGAGTGTGGCTTTAAACAATAAACAAACAAAACAAACAAACCTTTGCACTCAAATACATTATAAAAACACTTACTGTGATAGTCACGATATGGCTGAAATATTGCCGATGTGACGTAAAGCTTTAACTCACTCACTCACTTACTGTGAACGACGAATTTCAAGTTTGGCCGAAGACGTGTCTACGAGTATACATTGGTTTAAGTTATTAGCATTGCCAGATGCAAATAATTATAATTGAGTCAGACAAACCAGTGGCTGATGCCATGAGCAACGCCCCACGCCTTTAGCGTATGATGAATACATGAAGCAAGTGGCAGAGAAAGAGCCATTTCGTTGTCGTTTCATATGACCCTACAACTTGATATGTGCGAAAGTACTTGCTCGAGCGTGTCTGTTTTAACTAAAAAATGTCGGCGTGAAATTGAAAGGGAAAGGGAGAAAACTAGACTTTGATATGGGCTAATGGACTCTTCAGCCCCGGGACGACGAGTGCGTTTTGGCCAAAGGTCACATGACAGAATAATACTTCTACATTTGTGCTATCATCCGCAGTACACATCATATATTCATAATGATGCCATTAACTACTCTGTTATGCTCTACTCAAATCATCAATCAAATATAACACCCATTGTATTTAGAGGTTAGCTCATTATCTTTATGTTTACACTATGTTTGCAATCAGTGGCAGAGCGTTTTAAAATATATATAATTAATATAAATGATAACAATTCCTATTATTGGGTTAGAAACATGTATTATGTTTCTAGGCCCGCGTCATTTCCAACCCCAACGTTTGGCTATTCTATTCTATTCTACCAAGGGCAGGTAACTATATCCTGCGCTCCCCAAAACAAACTTAAAAACTGCACATAAGGTGCAACTATGCAGGTTGGTGTGTGAAGAATATTAGGCCCTTTGGGCTTGTCGAGTGCAGTTTAGACATAAAGTGAAAAGGTCATTTTAATGCCCGGTCAACTTTGTTTTTCATCTATGCAAATGACTTGTGGAAAATATCCGCGTCATCTCTCGGTTTAGGTCAAATTAAAAGACCAGAATTTGGGGCATTAAGATACCATTATTATTTATCTTTCAAGGTGATCATCGAGTGAATGAAAATCCAACTCTTCAGAGCATGCACACCATCTTCATAAGAGAACACAACCGTATAGCTAGAACACTTCAAGAAAGTAACTGTCACTGGAGCGATGAAATGACTTTCCAGGAGGCCAGGAAGATAGTCGGTGCTATCATACAGGTACCAATATTCTATTTTTCTCAATAAAAGTGTTTTTTTTTATCAATATCGACAGAGAAAGGAAATGCACAATTACTTAATAAATTGTCTGTCTGTCTGTCTAAAATGCACATATGAATGTAAATGATCATGTTATATGTATTTACTGCAAATGAATGTAAATATAATATACTCGGGATTTCAGAAAATCACGTATGACGAATACTTGCCTATTATCATCGGAAAGCATGCCAGCAAGTATGACTTGCCAATTGGATCTGGGAGCACTTACGCCAACGTCTATAGCACAAAGACAGACGCCAGCATCAGGAACGCCTTCGCTACGGCGGCTTTCAGAATGGGACACTCCATGATCCGCAGCCACTTAGCTAGCTACAACTCTTCATATAGTAATCTCGGTGAGGACGAACTAAGCGAGATCTTCGGCAACACGGATCTCATTCTGAACGCCAACAACAGGAAGGTTGGTCATTACTGTAGAGGGCTGGTTCAGGACGGAGTTCAGAATGCAGAACACAAACTGACGCAGGAGGTCACGGACAAGCTGTTTGCTGACAGTAATGGCAATAGTCTGGACCTGGCAGCTCTCAACATCCAGAGAGGAAGAGACCACGGGCTACCGTCTTACATCAAATGGAGGGAGTACTGTAACGTTTCAACAGCTACATCTATATCTGACCTGGCTTCCACGACACACACAAACACTACAGCGAATCTTTTGAAGAAAGTGTATAAGTGAGTGCGGTCCCTTTCCAAAAGAAAATATTTTCTGTTGAATCAGGTTGAAAAGTATATGTAATTGTTCATGTACGTTTAGCTGTACTTCTTAACAACTACTTCCTTGATTCTAATATGACAATAATGGATATTGAAGTGCAAATACCGCTTACTGTTTATAAATATCATTTCGAATCTAACTAGTATAATAGACTTACGACTCGGCCACTTTGACTGGGAAGGGAAATTCTAAACTTCCCTAAAACCTTGACAATCACGGGAAGGTTGGTCATCCACGGATTACCAGAAAACGTAGTATGAAAAATCCCAGCTCATACGTTTAGCTCAGTACAACCAGAGTAAGTCAGTACTAGATCAAAACCGCCCTCAACTTACCAACGAAAGCAGAGTTTCGAATGACCGCCCAGTAGCAAGACGACCAGTAATCGGCCTTATGAAGCCTTGGGGTAAAGACAGATGATTTTGACAAGGGTTTATTACTTGGGCGCGGACGTCTGAGAGGTCATCCTCTTCTGGTCAGCCGGGAAAAAGCAATAGTCTGGGGGACTTTAAACAAGTGCGTTTGTTAACATAGTAAAAACCGAATAACAAACAAACTACTACATATATCCATACCGAAGATGTACCAAAATAAAGAGCTGAACACAAGCCATCCACTGGTACCATGTACAATTATAGAGGTGGAAAAAATTTATCATAATACATGAGAAATATCTCGAAGTACTGGTAACACCCTGAATCACAGCGATCAATAGGTACATGTCTCTTTCCAGACACATCGACGACATTGACCTGTTTCCTGGGGCTCTGTCTGAGAAGCCCATTCAAGGAGGACTTCTGGGACCGACATTCACCTGTCTCCTGGGGAAGCAGTTCCAGGCCCTGAAGGAAGGAGACCGATTCTGGTTTGAAGTGGACAACGCATATGTGAAATTTACTCCGGGTGAGTTATAATTTTACCATAGTTTTGGGTCAGTCAGTGGTATCGAATTGCAATAAACTCAAACATTTGTAGAATGATGATCTGTACGATTATACGTTACAGGATCGAGAGTTGTATTAAATACATGTCTATATATACATACATCAGGTTTTCCAGAAAAAGCTAACAGTTCGCTTTATGACACATGAATAGGTGTTGTAAAAATATGGCCATGGTCACCTGTCAAAGAAAGAAAATGTGTATGCCTTATAAGCAGTGGTCGAACAGTATCCTCTCCAACAAAACACACTGACTGGTAATGTTACTTTTGAGTCATATGTAATGATAAAAAGTAACAATTATTTTAATGTATACACCCATGTATCCCCTGTTTAGGAACAAAGCCTCCCACCATGTACAAAGGAATTAATATCGCATGCAGTTCTGCTTTACCCTCCTTACTATATTCTCTTAATACTATTAAAATGGAATAAAAACGGTTTGAAACAAAGATAATTATGATTTATTATCAGGCCAGCTGAAAGAGATCCGGAAAGCCAGTCTGTCCAGGGTAGTGTGTGACAATACGGACACCTACATGATCCAGAAGAACGCCTTCATCAAGGGACCTTCGTAAGTAGTATTCAACACTTTGCGTTTATAAAAAGTAAATGTATAACAATGTAAAACAATGTGACTTTTCACTTGCAATTACCATAAACACGTACACAGCAGAAATTCCCATCCACACATATGATACTTATGATAGGTATTTTATTAATTTAACCTTTTTTCCAGGGTTTCATGCGGTTCTTTGGATGAAATTAACCTCGACCACTGGAATTAGCCGAGCACAGGCACCTGGAAGACCTGGACGTCCTGGGGAACATGCTACTCCGGCAAACAGAGGAGAAGTCGCTCATGCAAGACCTGTGACTGCACTGGTCAGAGTTCTCAGAGTCGTAGCTGTGGATGTGTCCCATGGTGTTGGTTCCAGGGGCATACAGACTTTTCAAAGACTTTTAAGACGGTTGAACCCGTTGATGTTGCTCGAGCTGCTGCTGCTCATGACGTCAAGAACTAATTTCAAGCTCTACACTTTTAGTAATATAAGTTATCGAGTATCACGTGTTATTTCTTTGACCATTACCTGTTGACAAACGGAAACAATTTGTCACTTTATACTATGCTTGATCTTCATGTGTACTGTGTATTCTTTGAAAATATACCCATTGATCATAGCTGATTTCAGGGTAGCCATACGAAATCGCTGCCCATGTTCACATTTAGTCCCACAAACTTGATCTCTGCACTTTCCCTTCTGTAACACCGTCAAATGTCCACATAATACTGAATGGAAATAATGTTCATGGCCTTTGGCCTCCTCAGCGTTATGCTTGACAGAAGAGTTGTGTCATGGTATGTTAATATTACTATAATATTGGGTTGGTTCCCTGTCATATCATCCTGAATGGGGGGCGGTCGGGTAGCCTTGTGGTTAAAGCGTTAGCTCGTCACGCCGAAAACCCGGGTTCGATTCCCGACATGGGTACAATGTGTGAAGCCCATTTCTGGTGTCCCCCGGCGTGATATTGCTGGAATATTGCTTAAAGCGGCGTAAAGTCAAACTCGCTCGCTCATGCTGAACGAGTGAGTGAGTTTAGTTTAACGCTGCTTTGAACATGATTTCGGTTGTATCACGGCGTGTTAGCTTAATGTCAAATATCAAAGTGACACCTTATTTCGTGTTCACCAATGTCACGGTCTAGAGCCGCTCTGTTCCCCGGCCTAAAACCCGACACCTCTCGATAAAGTCCGACTGTTGCTATCTTACAGAGTCAGGTCATTTTGTGTGAATCATTTATTATTTGTTTAAGCCGCTCTCCTTTTAATGCTGTATTACTGTTGAATGGCTAAATTGCCTGTATATTTGCAGATTGGGTATATCTGTCTGCCATTAGTAAAATTAGTAGTTATTTAATAAATCTGTGAACCTATTACCACTTTTTCTTTATCGCTTTATTCTTATTTTATGACACCCCTGATCATTGATGCACATCTCCGTGACACAAAGATATGCTTATCGTAAACGCCGCTTACAACTGTGATGTAGCCAACAAGCAGGGCTATGATGTTGACAACCTAAGGACTAAATTGTATCCTGCAGATAAGAGACGCAACTGTCTGTATGATTGTAATGTCACTATCGTGCAGAACAATGTAATGTCACGATCGAACGTTCTTACCATTGTTGCTGTATTAATGTTAGCCGTAACTATCGTTGTTGTATTATTGTGCCCGTAACTATCGTTGCTGTATTACTGTAACCCGTAACTATCGTTGTTGTATTATTGTACCCGTAACTATCGTTGCTGTATTACTGTAACCCGTAACTATCGTTGTTGTATTATTGTACCCGTAACTATCGTTGCTGTATTACTGTAACCCGTAACTATCGTTGTTGTATTATTGTACCCGTAAGTATCGTTGCTGTATTACTGTAACCCGTAACTATCGTTGTTGTATTACTGTAACCCGTAACTATCGTTGCTGTATTACTGTACCCGTAACTATCGTTGCTGTATTACTGTAACCCGTAACTATCGTTGCTGTATTACTGTACCCGTAACTATCGTTGCTGTATTACTGTAACCCGTAACTATCGTTGTTGTATTAGTGTAATCCGTAACTCTCGTTGCTGTATTACTGTAACCCGTAACTATCGTTGCTGTATTACTGTACCCGTAACTATCGTTGCTGTCTTACTGTAACCCGTAACTATCGTTGCTGTATTACTGTAACCCGTAACTATCGTTGCTGTATTACTGTTACACGTAACTATCGTTGTTGTATTACTGTAACCCGTAACTATCGTTGCTGTATTGCTGTACCCGTAACTATCGTTGCTGTATTACTGTACCCGTAACTATCGTTGCTGTCTTACTGTAACCCGTAACTATCGTTGCTGTATTACTGTAACCCGTAACTATCGTTGCCGTATTACTGTAACCCGTAACTATCGTTGTTGTATTACTGTAACCCGTAACTATCGTTGCTGTATTGCTGTACCCGTAACTATCGTTGCTGTATTACTGTAATCCGTAACTATCGTTGCTGTATTACTGTAACCCGTAACTATCGTTGCTGTAATACTGTAACCCGTAACTATGGTTGCTGTATAACTGTAACCCGTAACTATCGTTGCTGTGTTACTGTAACCCGTAGCTCTCGTTGCTGTATTACTGTAACCCGTAACTATCGTTGCTGTATTACTGTAACCCGTAACTATCGTCGCTGTATTACTGTAACCCGTAACTATCGTTGCTGTATTACTGTAACCCGTAACTATCGTTGCTGTTTTACTGTAACCCATAACTATCGTTGCTGTATTTCTGTAACCCGTAACTATCGTTGCTGTATTACTGTAACCCGTAACTATCGTTGCTGTATTACTGTAACCCGTAACTATCGTTGCTGTATTACTGTAACCCGTAACTATCGTTGCTGTCTTACTGTAACCCGTAACTATCGTTGCTGTATTACTGTAACCCGTAACTATCGTTGCAGTGTTACTGTAACCCGTAGCTCTCGTTGCTGTATTACTGTAACCCGTAACTCTCGTTGCTGTATCACTGTAACCCATAACTATCGTTGCTATCTTACTGTAACCCGTAACTATCGTTGTGTTACTGTAACCTGTAACTATCGTTGCTCAGTTACTGTAACCCGTAACTACCGTTGCTGTATTACTGTAACCCGTAACTATGATTGCTATATAACTGTAACCCGTAACGATCGTTGCTCTGTTACTGTAACCCGTAACTATCGTTGCTGTATTACTGTAACCCGTAACTATCGTTGCTGTATTACTGTAACCCGTAACTATCGTTGCTGTATCACTGTTTCCCGTAACTATCGTTGCTGTCTTACTGTAACCCGTAACTATCGTTGCTGTATTACTGTAACCCGTAACTATCGTTGCTGTGTTACTGTAACCCGTAACTATCGTAGCTGTATCATTGTAATACGTCCCAACCATTGCTGGATTATCGTATACATCACTACCGTGGAAGTAATATTCCATAATGTCACCACCATTACAATGTTATTGTAATGCATCTCTGCTGTGTGCGAGATTATTGTAATACGCTACAATCGTTGGAGTATTATTGTATTAAGTCATCACCGTTGCTGTATCAACAGCATATGAAAGTTTAATCAACCTAAGATGGCATACTTTGATGAAAGAAATATGAACTACTGAACTGTATAAAGACTTCTGGGCACTGTTTAATGCTGATTGGGAATGCAAACAGTTTCGACCCGAACCCCCACGGCAAATGCAAGTACCCCACTCAGGAGCAAAGCCACCTCACTTAAGTGGTGGTTAGCAGAACCGGTAGCAGACCCGTGAAGATCCGGGGTAGAATAGGTCTTCAGCAACCCATGCTTGCCGTTAAAGGCGACTATGCTTGTTGTAAGCGACGACTAATGGGATCGGGTGGTCAGACTCGCTAATTTGGTTGATACATGTCATCGTATACAAATTGCCGTCATATAGCTGGAATAGAGCGGCGTAAAACAACACACAAACAGTACCGGTAGCAGACAAGCGGTCAGCCTGCCAAACCAATGACATGAGATCAATAATAGCAAGGAGCACCATCATCGACAACTCATCCAAACTCCCACATATATATTGAATATTAAATGAGGGGACCTGCATCAATGAGCCCTATATACGTCTTATTAACAAACCAGAAACCCTGCAACTACCCCGGGGGTTCCGCCGTTACAGTCCGCTGGATTGACAAAAACATCCCAGAATGAGCTGAAATAGCAAGAGTTGATACTCTGGAAAGAGAGGGAACGTTAAGCTACTGCCCACTATATATTGCCAGGTGGCAGTTTCAACGGAAAGGAAGGCCGTTCTGCCTCACCTGGCTGATGTTGGTTTGTTGTTTAACGCCGCATTCAGCAATATTCCAGCTATATGACGTCGGTCTGTAAATAATCGAGTTTGTTTGGTTATCACGCAAGCATGCCTATCCATCACACAGACATGCCCAACCATCACGCACATGCCTTTCCAGCAAGCACATGCCTATCCTTCACGCACACATGCCTATCCATCCCGCAAGCATGCCTACCCATCATTCACATTTCTATCCATTACGCACATACCTATTAATCAGACTCGCATACCTAATAATATTCATGACACACTCATGCCTATCTATCACTCACACATGCCTATCCATCACGCAACATGCCTATTCGTCACTCACCATGCATCCCAATCAGCTATATGCTTATGCATAACGCATATGCCTTTACATCACGCACACATGCCTAGCCAGCACGCATAAGTGCCTAGCTATCACGCACACATGCCTAGCCATCAAGCACATGCCTATACATCACGCACACATGCCTAGCCATCACGCACACATGCCTAGCCATCACGCACACATGAATATCCATCAAGCCTATGCTTATGCATAAAGCACATGCCTATCCATCAAGCACATGCCTATACATCACGCACACATGCCTATACATCACGCACACATGCCTATACATCACGCACACATGCCTAGGCATCAAGCACACATGCCTATACATCACGCACACATGCCTATACATCACACATACATGCCTATACATCACGCACACATGCCTATACATCACGCACACATGCCTAGCCTATACGTCACGCGCACATGTCTAGCCAACACGCACACATGCCTAGCTATCACGCACACATGCCTAGGCATCAAGCACACATGCCTATACATCACGCACACATGCCTATACATCACGCACACATGCCTATACATCACGTACACAAGCCTATACATCACGCACACATGCCTATAGATCACGCACACATGTCTATACGTCACGCGCACATGCCTAGCCAACACGCACACATGCCTAGCTATCACGCACACATGCCTATACATCACGCACACATGCCTATACATCACGCACACATGCCTATACATCACGCACACATGCCTATACATAACGCACACATGCCTATACATCACGCACACATGCCTATACATCACACACACATGGCTATACGTCACGCGCACATGCCTAGCCAACACGCACACATGCCTAGCTATCACGCACACATGCCTAGGCATCAAGCACATGCCTATACATCACGCACACATGCCTATCCATCACGCACACATGCCTAGCCATAACGCACACATGCCTAGCCATAACGCACACATGCCTAGCCATCAAGCCTTTGCTTATGCATAACGCACATGCCTATCCATCAAGCACATGCCTATACATGACGCACATGTCTATCCATCACAGCCGCATATCTAGCCATCACGCACTCATGCCAACCCTCAAGCCTATGCTTATGCATAAGGCACATGCCTATCTATCAAGCACATGCCTATATCACGGAAGCATGTCTATACATCACGCACATGTCTATCCATCACAGCCGCCTATCTATCCATGACACACGCATGCCTATCTATCACGCACGCATGCCTATTCAAAGGCACGCATACCTATCCACGACACACACATCTGATCCATCAAGCAATCATATTTATTCATTATCATATAATGGGTGGGTTTCTCGGCAGGATAAAGCCAACGGATAAAAACGATATCCGTTGAGGTCATATACGGAGAGAGATGCAAATATAAAGGTCAAGTAGGGACTACCTTCACTGTTTATAAACAAACATTGCGTCGCCCACTCGTCATTCGGTGATCGAGTCGGAATTAACCATCGGGAATCTGAATAAATCAGGGATATTTGCTATCATTATCAAAAGAACAGTCTAATATACTGAAAATCAGTGTCTAACTGTGACGTAGCTAAGGCATTTTATAAGTTTTGGCAACTTTGGAGATATAAATTTCGAAACAATTTTGCGAGGGCACGAGGCCTAGTCAAGCGGGATCAGTAGCCATATCTGTGCTTGTAGACCTCTGCACAAATTAAAATAGTTGGGTTTGGCTGAAATATGTTTGAATTGTTACCTTGTTTCGTTTTGTCGCTGTGTGTACGTCTGACTACACTTCTTAACGTTATGACAGGACAGACCGACTGTCAACAGCGTCTGGCCGTGGCCGTGACGTCTCATAGACTACGGTTAGAGTAGCCTCCCTTTGACAAAGGGCAGTTACTCTGGCGGACAGACCGATGGATTGCCGCGAAAGGCAATTAAAACAATTGTTGGTTTGCGTATATGTTGCTTCGCCACTGTATAAGAAAGAGATTTCAGTTGGAACTGTATTGGCTACTGTCACTGTCCGACTGACACATCACTTACCCTGTGACGTAATAAATATTAATGTGCGCATTCCAGGAAAACTCGCAATGTTTGGATAATGTTTGTGAGAGAGGGAAAGCGATTTTGAAGCACAGAATTAAAGAATGACATGATATGATAAAGAGGTTATCACGCCAAGGCTGGCTAAATACAATGTTTATTTCTAATGCAGGATATTTACCATCCCCAGAAACACTCGCGTGATAACCTCTATATATTTCATTTACTCAGCAAGTGTTATTCTGTTTGTATTGAGGGGATACCCACACATAGTTATGGACAATGCGAACAGAGAAACGTAACATGTTTTTCACTTACGAAGCGAGATTCAATCTGACTGTGGGTGTTGGTTGGCTCAGGGTATTTCGTAGGGTCGGAGAACAGATGCATTGTTGAATCATGGCAGTGGATATTTTTTTTTAAGTATAGGTATTCACATCGTGCACAGTAACCTGACTTGTCGCATGATGTCATTCCTTTTCTTGCACATGACGTTTCAGGATATTGACGTTTTCGAATTTGTCGAGCGTGGTTAAACTTTCCTTCAAAGAACGATGTCAAAATGTTGCCCTGACCAGAAGGTTCATCTGATCTTAACAACACTATAAAATACCCTTAATTAGACGTCATAAGCGCACAGGGCGCTCTCAAAATTAGAAACAGGGGGCTCTTATTGGAATTTTATCTTGGTGGAAAAAAAACAGGGTTGAAAGATAAATTTCGTGGTTTATGCTGACGGCCTGACTGTTAAAATACGACAGATATATTTTTCCAGAATTCAATTGTCCATAATTAAGGGTGGATATAACACCCGAGTGCGTATTATACACGAATAAATAAGTCATGCGTACATTGATCAATCGGAAGGGGTGCTAGTTGGGATTGTTCACTTGCCAATATATTAGCAAATATTGCCGAGGGCGCTTATTAGAGCGGGGCGCTTATTACGTCAAATACGATACCCTTAATTAGATAACCAGGCTCCACTGAGGTGTTTACTTGGGGTTAAGTATAAAAGTACCTATTTTATAATTGTTGGCTTGCCAAATGCCATGGCTGCACCCTTACTGCTAAAATGTGCATCAGAAACAGTATATTTCCAGAAGGTAGGGTCCGATCTCCAATCGGACTGTTTGTTTCGGAAGGAAACATTTCCAGAAGTTGTAAATGCTCTTTATAATTACTAACACTGCTACCCTTTTTAAAGCCCAACTAGACGTTTCCTTGTGTCTTAGAACATGAACAATTGTTTCGAAAAAATATTCCATCAACATTTTTGTCAGAGAATCATGAACCCTTGTTTACACATGGTCGTTTTTAGCTAATAACATACGACGATTATCTGCCTATAATTCTCGGCAAGGAGGAAATGAATAAATATGGTTTGACACTTGGATCAGGCTTTACTTACGCCAACGTCTACAACACAACAACAAACGCCAGCATCAGGTCCGCCTTCGCTACGGCGGCTTTCAGAATGGGACACTCCATGATCCACAGCTTCATCAATAGCTTCAGTCCTTCCTACATCAACCTCGGTAAGGATAAATTAAGTGAGAGTTTCCGCAACACGACCCTTTTTCTTAATGTCACCAACAGAAAGGTGGATCATTATATCAGGGGACTAGCTATGGACGACATGCAGGATTCGGACTACAAGCTATCGCAGGAGATCACCGACAACCTGTTTGCTGACAGTGATGGGAATAGCATGGACTTGGCTGCTCTCAACATCCAGAGAGGAAGAGACCACGGACTTCCGTCTTACACCAAGTGGAGGAAGTACTGCAACATTCCAGAAGCTACACCATTCTCAGGACTAGCCTACACAACCCACACGGCAAAGGCTGCTGGTCACCTGAAAGACGTGTACAGGTGAGTAGGGGTACATGGAGTGTGAGTGGGTTGGGGAGAAGGTAAGTGAGCTGGATTAAACGTATCTTTGAACAAGAGCCCAACTTGAATTTGATCAATCTGTTTAAGCGTAATGTGGAATGAAATTTGGACGAATGTCTTTGACGTTAACCACTTTGGTTAAACCCTGTAGCACCAGATAAGGGCTTACACATTTCTTTGACCACCTGTGTCTCCAACAGAACATAGTCAATGTCTTACTACGCAATACTCTGCTTGAGCAGAATGTTTACTTCTTTTGACCAGGATTAGGACACGTCCCCGACACTCTTGCTTGCTATTGCTTGTCGTAGTGGGTACTACATTGCTGACTGCCTGTCACTGTACCCTGATGCACACGAAGCTCACAATATCAGCCATCACCATCAACTGGAACATTGTTGGAAAGTCAATAGAATGTTATGTTGGAATGGTAATGCTTCTGTGAAACTCCAGCGAGGATATCAGTTGGCCCTTTAAAGAGTGTGAAATGCTTATTGCATCAACTAGCTGGCCATTAATTTTCCATGACTCTCCCCAGACATATTGACGACATCGACCTATTCCCAGGGGCTCTGTCAGAGAAGCCAGTGCCCGGAGGAATGGTTGGACCGACCTTTACCTGTCTCCTGGCGAAGCAGTTCCAGGCCCTGAAGGCAGGAGACCGATTCTGGTTTGAAGAGGACATCGCAAATGTCAAATTCACAAAATGTATGTAGTTGCACAAACCCAGCGAATGTGTTTTGATCCTGAGAGATATGTGTGTATGTTTTCCGTGAAATGCCTCATGCGGTATAGTGTGTTTTCTACCCCGGAGCATTGTGACATTTTTACATCGACTCACTTAAGAACCCAATTACACTCTCCTCTACAATATGCCAACCTCTGTGCTCAATTCTCCTCTATAATATGCCACCCTCTGCACTCAACTCTCCTCTACAATATGCCAACCTCTGCACTCAACACTCCTCTACAATATGCCACCCTCTGCTCTCAACTCTCCTCTACAGTATGCCACCCTCTGCACTCAACTTTCCTTTACAATATGCCAACCTCTGTGCTCAATTCTCCTCTATAATATGCCACCCTCTGCAGTCAACTCTCCTCTACAATATGCCACGCTCTGCACTCAACTCTCCTCTACAATATGCCATCCTCTGCACTTAATTCTCCTCTACAATATGCCACCCTCTGCACTCAACTCCCCTCTACAATATGCCACTGTCTGTGCTCAATTCTCCTCTACAATATGCCACCCTCTGCACTCAACTCTTCTCTACAATATGCCACGCTCTGCACTAAACTCTCCTCTACAATATGCCACCCTCTGCTCTCAACTCTTCTCTACAATATGCCACGCTCTGCACTAAACTCTCCTCTACAATATGCCACCCTCTGCTCTCAATTCTCCTCTATAATATGCCACCCTCTGCACTCAACTCTTCTCTACAATATGCCACGCTCTCCACTAAACTCTCCTGTACAATATGCCACCCTCTGCTCTCAATTCTCCTCTATAATATGCCACCCTCTGCACTTAACTCTGCTCTACAATATGCCACGCTCTGCACTAAACTCTCCTCTAAAATATGCCACCCTCTGCACTAAACTCTTCTCTACAATATGCCACGCTCTGCACTAAACTCTCCTGTACAATATGCCACCCTCTGCTCGCAATTCTCCTCTACAATATGCCACCCTCTGCTCTCAATTCTCCTCTATAATATGCCACCCTCTGCACTCAACTCTTCTCTACAATATGCCACCCTCTGCACTAAATTCTCCTCTACAATATGCCACCCTCTGCTCTCAACTCGTCTCTACAATATGCCACGCTCTGCACTAAACTCTCCTCTACAATATGCCACCCTCTGCACTCAACACTCCACTACAATATGCCACCCTCTGCACTCAACTCTCCTCTACAATATGCCACCCTCTGCACTCAACACTCCACTACAATATGCCACCCTCTGCACTCAACACTCCACTACAATATGCCACCCTCTGCACTCAACACTCCACTACAATATGCCACGCTCTGCACTAAACTCTCCTCTACAATATGCCACCCTCTGCTCTCAACTCTTCTCTACAATATGCCACGCTCTGCACTAAACTCTCCTCTACAATATGCCACCCTCTGCTCTCAATTCTCCTCTATAATATGCCACCCTCTGCACTCAACTCTTCTCTACAATATGCCACGCTCTCCACTAAACTCTGCTCTACAATATGCCACGCTCTGCACTAAACTCTCCTGTACAATATGCCACCCTCTGCTCGCAATTCTCCTCTACAATATGCCACCCTCTGCTCTCAATTCTCCTCTATAATATGCCACCCTCTGCACTCAACTCTTCTCTACAATATGCCACCCTCTGCACTAAACTCTCCTCTACAATATGCCACCCTCTGCTCTCAACTCGTCTCTACAATATGCCACGCTCTGCACTAAACTCTCCTCTACAATATGCCACCCTCTGCACTCAACACTCCACTACAATATGCCACCCTCTGCACTCAACACTCCACTACAATATGCCACGCTCTGCACTAAACTCTCCTCTACAATATGCCACCCTCTGCTCTCAACTCTTCTCTACAATATGCCACGCTCTGCACTAAACTCTCCTCTACAATATGCCACCCTCTGCTCTCAATTCTCCTCTATAATATGCCACCCTCTGCACTCAACTCTTCTCTACAATATGCCACGCTCTCCACTAAACTCTGCTCTACAATATGCCACGCTCTGCACTAAACTCTCCTGTACAATATGCCACCCTCTGCTCGCAATTCTCCTCTACAATATGCCACCCTCTGCTCTCAATTCTCCTCTATAATATGCCACCCTCTGCACTCAACTCTTCTCTACAATATGCCACCCTCTGCACTAAACTCTCCTCTACAATATGCCACCCTCTGCTCTCAACTCGTCTCTACAATATGCCACGCTCTGCACTAAACTCTCCTCTACAATATGCCACCCTCTGCACTCAACTCTCCTCTACAATATGCCACCCTCTGCACTCATGATCAACTCTCTTCTACAAATCAGACAGATTTGTGTTGACGAATGTTCTCAATTTGTGCAGACCAGCTGAATGAGATCCGGAAAGCGAGTCTGTCCAGGGTAGTGTGCGACAATACGGACACCTACAAGATTCAGAAGAACGCTTTCATCAAAGGATCTCCGTGAGCATACTAGTTCATTAGTTTAACTTCAACATTATGAGGAGAGTCATATTCAAACAAGGTACCGCTGCTGTAAGGCTGATTGAGGGAGGGAGTGAGTATTGTTAAACGTAGCATAATTTCACGGCGTATCAGCTTGATGTGGGTAAAAAGCCTGACGCGATGCAGGTCTAGCTTTGAGTCCATCCTTTATGACTGTCCATCTAATGACAAGGTGGGTAGGGGGGGGGGGGGGGGGGGGGGGGGGGGCACGGGTGGCCCAGTCGTCTATGACAGCTCAATTCGTGGTGCAGAGTTGTGTCCATTGAGTCGCAAGATTGTGGGTTCGAATCCTGCTTCGCCCCGGTTATGTTTCTAGGTTTACCAGCACCATACCCGTGCTCCTGGGTTTCATCAAAGTGGTAAACGTCTAAGACCTGCTTCACTTCTGGCTTTCCTCCCACATTAAGCTGACACGGTAAACCGAACTAACTCACTCACCCACTCTAATGACAAAACATATAGTTGTCACCGAGTCGCAGGCTACAGAATTGTCAACAAATGCACTGTGAAATCCAATTTCATTTCGTCCTAAAGGGAAGAAACTCTATACAACACATTTACTTTCAAACGCTCAGTCAAGTGAATAACACAGTGAAGTTGGCGGGTTTAGTTTACTCAAGCGTAATAAAATGCTCCATGACATCGCAGCTAAGAGAAGGGTATCACAAATTGAGATAATTATGTCTTTCTTACAAAGTAAAAGCTGTTACATTTCCCCACTGGAACACATCGATACAGTATTATGATACAACATTGTTTTTACAGTTGGGGTAGAATAGGTCTTCAGCAACCCATACTTGCCGTAAAAGGTGACTCTGCTTGTAAAAAGCTGACTTGGTTGATGCATGTCATCGATCCCAATTGCTTGGATCGATGCTCATGATATTAGCCACTGGATTGTCTGGTCCAGACTCGATTATTTACAGACCGCTGTCATATAGCTGGAATATTGCTGAGTGCGGCGTTAAACTACAAACAAACAAACAAAAACAATTTTGTGTACAGTTGCGTGTACTGTAGTGAATCTGACATCTCTGCGCTATTCAAACGCTCTTTGTGACATCTGCGGACTAAATTAAGGGATGTTCCCGTGTGTTTACTGTTATTAATTCATTTTACATATTAATGAGACATGTGTCAACAATATGGAGATGCTATGAATACCGAATGGGTGGATAAACAAATTTTACGACGCTTTATCAAAATTCTAGTCACATCACGACTGTGCAAGAAAAATGGGTTTTACCCATTGCATACATTTGGGTAATGAAACGCTGGATTCTGCAACACACGATTTCACGATGAGGATGCCCACTGTGGCAGAAGCTTCCCCATACAGCATTACACACACGTTGCAAGTTCACACTTTTGTGGACGAGTGTTTATATATTTAATAATTTGTAAAAGACAGGAGGTGAGACTATGTTTGTCATTGATCTACTCACTCTGTCAGTTGAACAGCAGTAATCAGAGCCTTCAGTGTCACAATGGTCTGCCAACCATTGTTATGCAGTTTTATTTCATTGATATTACCAAGGAGATATCGTTTGATCTGATCAATTTAATATCTCTGGACAAGCATAGTAACTGGGGACCAATTCTACACCGGAATTCATATGGTTATTTGATAAAGGAAGATGCTGGATAATTAATGATTCACCCTCACGAGTGTTCCGGCTAAGATAAAGAACCCAGTGTTTCGTGCTTGCCATATTTTGGTTGATGAATATGAAATTTTACCTTCTTGTTATGTCCATGAATCAGTTTGAGTGAAACTGTAAGAGAGTAGATTGTTAATACTGGTCATAAGTCTGATGATAGCGTTCGAGTGGAGGTGTTTCCGCTCATTCATTAACTTCTTTGAGAGGCATTTAGAGGTTGGAGTACTAGGTGAGGATTGGGTATATGGATGAACAACCTCTTTAATACAAATTTCTTTAATGCACATTCGGAGCGACGTTTCGGTGTAGGGTCCAGCACTTGTTTAATAACAGTGCCTCACCTATCACTCATTTATTGCATAGCTATAAGTGTGTGTAAAGTATATCTGTTGTGAATAATGGTTGTAAGTATTTATGACTTACGCTTTAATCCACAGTATAATCACAGCTATATCACGTCAGCATGCAGTCAATATCGCCGACGTACACCAAAGCCAAATATTTCATCTTACTGAAGGCTGACATGGCAAGCACAAAACATTGGGTACATTATCATCTTAGTGAAGGCTGACATGGCAAGCACGAAACACTGGGTACATTATCATCTTAGTGAAGGCTGACATGGCAAGCACGAAACACTGGGTACATTATCATCTTAGTGAAGGCTGACATGGCAAGCACGAAACACTGCGTACATTATCATCTTAGTGAAGGCTGACATGGCAAGCACGAAACACTGGGTACATTATCATCTTAGTGAAGGCGAACATGGCAAGCACGAAACAATGGGTACATTATCATCTTGGTGAAGGCTAACACGGCAAGCACGAACCACTGGGTACATTATCATCTTAGTGAAGGCTGACATGGCAAGCACAAAACATTGGGTACATTATCATCTTAGTGAAGGCTGACATGGCAAGCACGAAACACTGGGTACATTATCATCTTAGTGAAGGCTGACATGGCAAGCACGAAACACTGGGTACATTATCATCTTAGTGAAGGCTAACATGGCAAGCACGAAACACTGGGTACATTATCATCTTAGTGAAGGCTAACACGGCAAGCACGAAACAGTGGGTACATTATCATCTTAGTGAAGGCTGTCATGGCAAGCACGAACCACTGGGTACATTATCATCTTAGTGAAGAGTGACATGGCAAGCACGAAACACTGGGTACATTATCATCTTAGTGAAGGCTGACATGGCAAGCACGAAACACTGGGTAGATTATCTCCTTAGTGAAGAGTGACATGGCAAGCACGAAACACTGGGTACATTATCATCTTAGTGAAGGCTGACATGGCAAGCACGAAACACTGCGTACATTATCTTCTTAGTGAAGGCTGACATGGCAAGCACGAAACACTGGGTACATTATCATCTTAGTGAAGGCTGACATGGCAAGCACAAAACATTGGGTACATTATCATCTTAGTGAAGGCTGACATGGCAAGCACGAAACACTGGGTACATTATCATCTTAGTGAAGGCTGACATGGCAAGCACGAAACACTGGGTACATTATCATCTTAGTGAAGGCTAACATGGCAAGCACGAAACACTGGGTACATTATCATCTTAGTGAAGGCTAACACGGCAAGCACGAAACACTGGGTACATTATCATCTTAGTGAAGGCTGTCATGGCAAGCACGAACCACTGGGTACATTATCATCTTAGTGAAGAGTGACATGGCAAGCACGAAACACTGGGTACATTATCATCTTAGTGAGGGCTGACATGGCAAGCACGAAACACTGGGTACATTATCATCTTAGTGAAGGCTGACATGGCAAGCACGAAACACTGGGTAGATTATCTTCTTAGTGAAGAGTGACATGGCAAGCACGAAACACTGGGTACATTATCATCTTAGTGAAGGCTGACATGGCAAGCACGAAACACTGCGTACATTATCTTCTTAGTGAAGGCTGACATGGCAAGCACGAAACAGTGGGTACATTATCATCTTAGTGAAGGCTGACATGGCAAGCACGAACCACTGGGTACATTATCATCTTATTGAAAGTGACATGGCAAGCACGAAACACTGGGTACATTATCATCTTAATGAAGGCTGACATGGCAAGCACGAAACACTGGGTACATTATCATCTTAGTGAAGGCTGACATGGCAAGCACGAAACACTGGGTACATTATCATCTTAGTGAAGGCTGACATGGCAAGCACGAAACACTGGATGCATTATCATCTCAGTGAAGGCTGACATGGCAAGCACGAAACTCTGGGTACATTATCATCTCAGTGAAGGCTGACATGGCAAGCACGAAACACTGGGTGCATTATCATCTTAGTGAAGGCTGACATGGCAAGCACGAAACACTGGGTACAGTATCATCTGAGTGAAGGCTGACATGATGGAAAGCACGAAACACTGAGTACCTTATCTGTCCCAAAACACTCGTGAGGGTGAATCAATAATTATCAAGCATCTTCCTTTATCAAATAACCACAGGAATTCTGGTGTAGAATTGGTCCCCAGTTACTATGCTTGTCGTAAGAGTCAACAGAGATGGATTTGATGGTCAGGCTCGTTGACTTGGATGATCGTGTGTCCTCTTACCCTGTTGGTAGGGATCGTGCACTGGTTGATGCAGACCGGCTTTATTTAGGGACCTCGAGTAATGCTGCCTGTAACGTTATGCATGCACTCCTTTATTATTTCACCAAAAAGCACATCAAACTCCCTCGTTACCCTACTCATCTCTGCCACCTGTGGTCAAGTGGCCGTTGCAAGAAGAAACTGTCCCTCCCTAACCCCAAAGGAAGTAGCATTTACATTTTAGTGTGTATCTTTGGGAAGGCCATTCTAGTGAATTGGGAAAGGTTGACGACTGGCATAATTATAATTATCAGATGAATTTACGTTGGTAATTTCATCAGATTGGTTCGGGATTGCAGACAGTTGGAAAGCACCAATCGTCCCCCTTACGTTCTTATTAATGATAGTTGAAATGAAATAGAATTTTGAATTGATAAACAAAAACTAAAACAAACAAACAAAACAAATCAGCAGGGGCAAGAGCATTCAACGTCATTACTTGCCAGGCGGTTGCGAGTTCAATTTCTGCTTGGTTGTAGGCCGCTCGGGAGCTGTCACTGGCGACAGCATTGGCATAGAGAGCTCTCCGAACGGACTATCATGAAGAGTCACATGAAGAACATTGTCTCAAAACTGTAGTGATAAATAGGTGCACGAATCCATGTGTTTTTCTCAGTTGCTAATTGTGGAGGTTTTTTTTGTTCAAGCGTGTGGTGCAGCACCCTGGATGAGATTAACCTGACACACTGGAGGGAGACCCAGCCCATGGGTTTGTGGACGACCTGGCAGACATGGAGCGCATGTGACGGAGGCCAACAGACGAGGACACGCTCCTGCTCCACCTGCAGCTGTATTGGCCAGAGTGCTGAGAAGAAGGCGTGCAATCTGAATCCGTGTGATGAAGGAAGCTGGGGTCCATGGAGTGAGTGCCGCAGAGGAAGACGGTCACGACACTGTTCTTGCACAAACGGGTGTTCGCGGAGGCGGCGTTCATCGAATCGGGTGGATGGCGAAGACGAAGCTGCTGCTATGTTTGCGCATCCTCTGTTTGGCGAGGAGGAGAGTATGACGGTCACTGCCTGTCTGTGTTCTGGTCTTGTCACCCAGGACATGGCATGTGCTTAGATGGCCGTGAGGAAATCCACGAACGTTCCGAATTGAGACTCCCAGCATACACGAAGCATCAAATAAATCGTCAAATATATCAATCTAGTTTTTCATCAATGTTAAGGCCCGCCAGGCAATATTAAAGAGGGACGAGGCCCGCGAGGCTATATTAAAAGGGGTCTCTTCTTGGCAGGCTATGTTAAACGGGGCGAGGCCCGCCATGCTATATTAAAGGGTGTGTGGGGTGTGTGGGGTGTGTGGGGTGGGGTGGGGTGGGGGGGTGGGAGGGGACTATATTAAAGGGGGACGAAATTGTGTCGGCAAATTGGCAGTCCCATCAAATTTGACTCAGAAACTTTAACCAACACTTGTGTCTTTGTCTGCTTGTTGAAAAACGCGTGGTGTATATTAATTTAGCAGTTTTTAGCAGATAATCCCAATTACAGAAGACACGTACTAGCTTTCTTCATGTTGTGAACTACAATGTCTAGAACAAGGCAGACATGGGGACCAGTGAATGCAGATCCATGAGTCACCCGTGTCTCCACAACACAGAACAGTTCACGCATTTCCATAAACTTAGTGTATAATCTTTGCTACAAAAGGTGAACCAGATCGATTTATTGTCCAGGATGCCCTGGTGGGGTGGATTTGTGAACACCTCACTCAATGGGGGAGTTTTTTTCCTTTTACATAAGCAGAACGGCAGGCGATACAAAAAGCCTTAGTGAATCACTGAAGTTTAACGATGTGAGTTGTTCCGGGATCTATTCTAGCCAATGAAAGCAGAGAAACACGGCTGCCGTTTTCTTATAATGTTATTGTGTACTGTGTATTCCATACCCGGATAAACAACCACACAATGTATTGTGTTGACAGAGCTTCACGCATTCAAAACCGCTGTAATAGCTTTAGTATGTTAATGATAACTATTTTAACCAACAGCTTACAACACCTGTTCTTATCTCTGAGATGTGTACCAGGCTGGTCCAATACATAGACAAGCATCAGACTTTGAAAGGCTTCTTAAATGTAATGTGATGACGGGCCGCTTTCCCTCTTCAAGCACAATCCACCTCGTGTCAAATGTGTTGATTGGTTGGTTTGTTGTTTTACGCCGCACTCAGCAATATTCCAGCTATATGACGGCGGTCTGTAAATAATCGAGTCTGGACCCGACAATGCAGTGATTGATATCATGAGCATCGATCCACGCCTCTTACGACAAGAATAGTCGCCTTTTACGGCAAGCATGGGTTGCTGAAGACCCTTTCTACCCCGGATCTTCACGGGTCAAATATGTACACCCATGGACACACACGACCAACTGTACATGTATAGATTTAACTAATGAACCATGTGATCATGAAAACAACTTAACCTCATGCCGTTTCTTACGAGAATATTGAGTTTTCTCAAATTACATGTTTTTACTAAATTGTGCATATAATGACAGATATGTATGTCTGAATTTATAAAAAAAACATGCAGGTTTTCAGAAAGATGACTTTGTTACATCGCAGAGACGCACGCCCCAGATACACGTACAACATCACCTCTACAGCAAGAACAAAATTGGGTGATTCTACCCAAAATGACAATATTTATAACAGCTTTCATCACACATTGAGTTGATGAATAAACTTGTTTGGGCATAATTATTTTAACCTATGTTAATTAACGTATCATAAAATATATATCATATAATTATATATAAACAAAGTAACAGAACGTAAACAAGAAGCAGAATCAACATAAAAAACGTGTGTTTTATGATTTAATACAATTATTCATTCTATTGATTGTGCTGTAACACAGAGCGAAAAGGTGTGTTTTTATATTAATAAGAGAATAGCATGTTTTAACTGTTTGATTAGGATTCTAGAAGATAATGAGTAAGTAGAACGTGCAACTTTTTGGATATTAACAACAAAAACGACGTTTCGATGTAGATTCTTACACCGTTATCACGCTTGACGGCATGCGTATTCATTTTTTTAATTAATATCTCAAATTATCTCTTTTGTTTTAAAAGTATAAGTAGCCTGCAACCTCGGGGTATCGCGGTACTTGTCATGCACGCTGAACGGAACAAAATGCACCCACTAGCATTTATGATTATTCGTGTTCTCTATATCAGATGACATTAATTTTATCTAACAATGCATATTTTACTGATAAAAGTTCATTATTTACATAAGTAGCTCCGAGTAAAAGCCGGGCCTCGCGCTCAGTTTGACAAGGGAGAGCACTCCATCGTATCGCGGTACAGAGAAAAATTGTGTATGGAGGTCCGAATTGGACAAAAAGAGGACATAATTCTACCAACCACTTAGTATAACCATGCCAGATATCAGTGATTTGTCCAGACATGTGCAAAGACAGCACAAGTAAAATTCTAAATGTGTTATCAGTAATAGGTATTCAATGCATATTTACCGAAAAGTCTGAGAAAAATATTTAAAAAATCAACAACAAAATATCCGAAATGATATTCTAAGATTGTTTAAAAAAAAATTGGATGACAATAATTTGTCCCAAAATGTAAAAAATGTTAAAAGTCAACAATAAATATATAAAAAGCACTCCTTGTATGCCCAAAGTATGTATTTATCTTTTGGCCTCTAGTGAAGAGCGTATTTTTAAGTTTGGCATCATAGCCCTTATGATCTCCCAATAGATTCTTGGCACAGAGCGGGAAAAAAATGTGCGGACTACGTAACTTCCGTTACCTTATAAGTCGCACATGAATATGCACATGATCTAGTTCAGGTCGATAGAGAAAGTTTACTTGGGGAACTGCGGGTTATATCGTTGGTCATTGATAGATGGGGAAAAGGCAATATTAAAAAAATATGACAGAAGTAAGTATCAACACATTAATAACTCCTTACTTACAGCAGACGGAACATTCCGAGGAAATTGAAATTGTTTACGAAGTGAGCACTTCCTGGTTACTGATTTGCATTAATAGACAGCTGCTAAGAGGCGTGTCCCGCGTGAACTACCGGAAATCACAAATGCCGCGATACGATGAATGCCGCGGTACCATGGGGTCCGAGTATACTATCAAAATGTTGGTGGAGAGATCATTTTCATGAAGAAAAATTGTACATGATGTAATATGTAGTACCATATTTGTTTAAATTATAAGTTCATAGCATACTCCTTGATGTAAAATTGCTGTTTTCGGCAATGCAGAGCAAAAGGTTACAGATTAAGAAACTATGTTTATGGCAGGACCAACAATAAATATATGTTGATGTAAATGGACCACTAAATAACTTATGTAAGCACATGTTTATCCAATGCATTTCTCTCCTTTTTTAAACAACCTCTCTCTCACTCTATCTTTCTATTTCCCTCTCTGACTTTCTCTCTCTCACTCTTTCTTTCTCTCTCTCACATTCTCACCCTCTTTCTCTCTCGCTCTCTCTCTCCCTCTCTCCCTTTGTCTCACTCTATCAAACATTTAATGTCTCTCTTCTACAGTGTTTGACAAGAAATAACAAATATGTCAGACTTATCACCAATTCAACAATGCACAAGGATCTTGAGAAGAAATAGCAAATCTGTTAAGACACATCATTATAATTAATCCTGCCCCAACCCAGCAACAAATGAACTTTTCATTTCGTGCGAAGCAGCATTTATCCATTTACAGAGAATATATAACACGAATACCTATTCCAAGAACATTTAGGATTTTCTGAGAAATGAAGAACACGAGATGGTCGAGGGTAAAGAGTGTGAAATACCCCTTCTCCCTCCACCACCCCCTCTCCCCTCCACCCCTACCCCCATGGCCAGCCATCTACGAAGGGTAAGGACATGCCCATGCACATATACAATAAACAAGACAAAAGACACAAGACGTCCACGCCCTTCTATCAATCCCAGTCTATGTGAACACCTCTGTACATCATTACAAATACCAGATAGTGTTAACAGACCTAATAATTATATACCTAAAACTGGGGATAAACCATGGTTTGGAAGAATTTGTAAAACGGCTCGACGACTGCAAGACGACTGCATTTGGGAAGACGACTGCATGGTAGACATAAGTCGGAGCAAAATAGGAAATCGTTACTGATTGCCAGCAAAGAATATAAGAAGGTTTTGAATAAGTATATTAAACAGTACCGTTTTAATATGCAGAAAACGATGCAAAATATGCGTACAAAGTCCAGTAAAGATTATTGGAAGTTACTGAATAAATTTAAGAAAAAAACGAAACCAGAGGAAATTGATCTTGACTCTTTCTTTACGTTTTTTAAAAACATTAATACATCTCCAGAAATGGACTCTGATATAGAACTGCAAGTTGACGGAAACGATGACAATATCCTTAACCAGGAAATAACAATAGCAGAAATTACGAAGGCAGTTTCGAATCTTAAGACAAATAAATCGCCTGGAAGGGATGAAATCCTCAATGAATATTTGAAATATACTATTGATTTGTTTATCCAAGTGTATCATAAATTATTTAATATTATATTTGATACAGGCATAGTACCAGAAGAATGGCTCCTCGGATTGATCAAACCTATTTATAAAAAAGGTGATCGTAAAGATCCGAACTCTTACCGACCTATTACTCTTTTAAGCTGCATCGGTCAATTGTTTACCTCTATTTTAAGTGAAAGAATTAATAATTATCTAGAAAATAATAATTTGTTATCAGAATCACAAGGAGGATTTCGACACGGATATTCTACTGTTGATAACATGTTCGTATTGCACTCCCTCATGGAATACCTTAGGGCACACAAAAAGAAACTATATTGTACATTTATAGATTTCTCTAAGGCCTTCGATAACGTTTGGCGCTTTGGACTCTGGCAAAAATTAATAAAAACAAATGTACAAGGTAAACGCTTCCAGATCATATTCAACATGTATCAAGGCATAATTAAAGTCGTGTATTGTTGCTAATGGTGAAAATTCATCGTTTTTCTCTAGTGATATCGGAGTTAGACAGGGGGAAAATCTATCGCCAATTCTCTTTGCCCTGTACTTAAATGACCTTGAAGAATATCTACAACAGAAAATGTGTGAAGGTATTGATGTTATATCGGAAGTTGAAGTAGATAGAATCTGTAAAAACATTATTGTTTTGCTATATGCAGATGATACTATTATACTTGCAGATAACGCCTATGACCTTCAAAATAACATGAATGTTTTTTATGAATATTGTAAACAGTGGAAGTTGAATATTAATATTGATAAAACTAAGGTGGTTGTATTTGGATCAAGAAAAAACAATGATGTGTCTAAGATAGGCGATAGTGTTGTTGAAGTAGTAGATCAATATAAGTACTTGGGTCTGGTTTTTAAACGAACTGGAAACTTCCTAGCAGCCAAGATGTCGTTAGTGGCTCAAGCTAGAAAAGCTATGCATTTACTATATATTAGAATACGTAACCTTGACTTACCAATAGACTGCCAGCTATTATTATTTGATCAAACAATCGTGCCTATATTAACATATGGTTCCGAAATTTGGGGATTTGGTAAACTAGATATGATAGAAAAGGTTCACACGGACTTCTTAAAATATATACTAAGGGTAAAAAAAAGCACACCCCACTATTTTTTATATGGAGAGCTTGGAAGAACCCCTATTACGGATTTAATTAAACAAAGAATTTTGACTTACTGGTCTAAGATAATTTATAATAAACCAACGAAATTGTGTACTGTTATGTATAATATATTATTTGCAGACTCTGGTAACCATAAATACAGCTGGCTCGAATATGTTAAAGGACTATTTGATGGATTAGGCCTTAGTTTTATATGGACCCAACAATTATAAACGTATTAAAATGTGTTATTAAACAACGTATCTTTGATCGGTTCAGCCAGACTTGGACAAGTTGGATAAACAACTCCCCCAAGGCAGTATTTTACCGAATATTTAAACATAAAATCCAGTTACAAAATTATCTGCTGTCGCTACCCTTAAGACTCAGTATCCCGATTACTAAAATAAGATCCACAAACCATAGATTACCAATAGAAAAGGGGCGATGGGAAAATATACCACGAGAAGACAGAATTTGTAGTCACTGTAATAAACATGACTTAGCTGACGACAATCACTATCTACTAATTTGTCCTTTTCTGCATAACTTGCGTAAGCAATATATTCAAAAGAAGTACTTTACAAGACCTAGTACGATTACACTTGATATGCTACTAAATACTGAAAGTGTATTAGAACAAAGAAAACTAGCACAGTTTGTAAAAGAAATCCTCAAGATGTTTAATTAAATTTATGAGTCTGTTGCAGTTAAACGTTTAGTTGACGCACGTCCGTCTCCTGCCTCGTGTCACCATAAATCTCCATTTGTACCTTCAATATGTCATAGCTATGACCTTGAAGCGAAATAAACGTTTCTTGTTGTTGTTGTTGTTATTGTACAAATTCAATTTAATAGCCTTGTCGTTACACAATATATTGAATTAGACAATTACCAGACATGCAAACGTACACAATAAAACACCACATCGTACATAACACAAGACGGCGGCATGTGCAAACAAAGTAACATTCCGATGACCTAAATGTTTTTTGTAACATTATCTAACTTTCTTGTTTGACAATGTCTGAGCTAGGCATCAACAAAGTGAGGTATATGCATCAACATGTATTGGTAGCTTTCCCATTGGATACACATGTCCATATAGAAATGGGAACAGTAAAGAGACTATTCAGGAAGTTTTTTTCTAAATTGAAACTAATATATGTCACTGGGCATGATTAAACATGAAAGGAGTTTATTGTGTTTATACGAGTTTCGTAATCGTTCATATGTTTTTTCTTGTAGTGTAGATCCGGTTTGACGAACACTATCGGTTTGTAATGGAGACTAAGTACGAGTGGGTTAAGACAAGCTTGATTTAAAACAAAAATGAACTGTTTTGTTTTTATGTTATAATTCATATACTGAGTAATTGATCTAAATGACGCGTGTAGCTTTACGTAGATGTATCAGAAGGAAAGAGTCACATCTTCACTTCGCAAGTCTTGTTGTAAGATCAAACACAGATATCAACATTATATATTGCGAAACGGTCTCTAACGCTGTCTGTGATATAGAAATGCAACCATGTACTGAACAATATGCTTTGAGTACATCGTATATACTTCACCTGTATGCATCTTTGCATCTGATACCATTGCCGGAGGCTGCAGACTAACATAAGGGCAAGGCTTTTTTCAGGACATTATCATTTGCAGAAGCCCGAGGTCTTCTGCAAATGATAATCCCCTGATAAATAGCCTTTCCGTTGTCATAGCTAAAATGGATATAATTTGTTATCAAATAAAAATTAACAACAACAACATCGGTTCTGAAACATTTATTGCAATCAACACACGGATGTCACTGACCCACTTATCTAGTACGGAAACGTCATAGAACAAATAGATGACGTCACTATATGCACTCCATGTGACGTCACCTAACAAAGAGCATGAAAATGGCCCGTCATCAAGCAATATGACGGCATTATCAAGTTACAATGGCCCGCTCATTTCTGATAACAAGCGGGCGGTTTAATGATAGTTCTATCCATTTTAGATATCATACTTGTCAACAAATGTAATCTTTCTATCGGATCTGCATGTGTTAATTAGGGGTAGGTGGGCGGGTGGCTCAGTCGTCTGAAGCCCTTGTCCGCTAGGATTATATTTCTAGGTATGTCGATGCACTGTCGAGGCGTTACATTCTCTATGTAGACGGAGGATTGGGCATAAAGTCATTGGACATTTTACTTCATTTGAAGTTCGGCAAACCTACAGAAACAACAGATCCTGACACAATTGCTTTGTCTCTAATGAGAAACTTGAAGACATGTTGAGGTATGTTCGATGTAAGCTTATATATTTGTGTACCAGCTATCTCCGTGTCCCTTAATCATTTGACGCACATTGTCCACGTATGTTGTTTGCAGCTTACTTCCTCTTCTCGCTGATTTGTCGCTGGGAGAATCGTCATCGTCAACGGTCGTCAAGATATAGTGCACCACAACGCAAATGATAGGCCATTGAAAGAAGACTACTGACAGAGAAAACACGCACAAGAGTTGATCTGTCTGAGGTAAGTATTACTGAGGAATGAGTCTGCGTTAGTGTACATGCATTTTACTCTATCAGCACAGGAATAAATAGTTAACATATTGTTAATGTTTCACCTACATGCCGCTAAGCGGGATATTCCTATTTTCCAGTAACAGATAATACTGTGTTTGTGACAATATATCTGTCATACAGGTAGACTTTAAAAGGCTTGACAACTAGTTTGAAAGTCAAACATAGCTGTTATTACATTATTATTGCATAACTTATTAAGTAATTGGTTCGCGTCACTCCAAATAATCCAGTGATTGATATTATGTGCAACGATCCACGTCGGGTGCTGTGACACACGATCAACCAAGCTTTTAAGTCAACAAACTTGACCAATCCATATATTTGGTCGCGTCTTACGACTAGCAGAGATTGCTGGTGATAAAGTCTAACCCAGGAATCCACCGGGGCTATTCGGTTTCAAGGATAGGACACTCTATGTAAACATTATGAATAGGTATTTGGCAGGAATTTGTTGGAGCTTCTCAGCTTATCGACCCCGTATGCATCCTTCAAATTTATGAGAATGTGCACCCATAAATGCACAATGTTGTTGGGGAACAAACCATACAATTAAACATGATAATTATAGGACTCTGTACATTAGATACAAGCATGGGTTATTTTGCATAGAAGATACAGTTATATGTAAACATATGCATTCGTACTAGGAAGCCGTACCATATTTTGAGAATCGTGTCACTAGTATCTACTTTAAGTGTAAAAGGTCTTCTATTGTCATTATGTAGAACTACAATGCTGAAGCGGGCAGCGCTTAGTTCGCAGCTGATTCTGCTGCTGATGGTGGCTAAAACTGATGCAGTGGCCCCCCTCAACCTCAACACTGGGAAAATCAGTCTCAGTTCCGAACAATGGGAAGCAGCTCTTACTCAGGCCAGAGTTCAGCTTGAGGAAGAACAGAGTCAAGAAAGTGCCTTTGCGGAATTAGGTAAGATATACTTTACAGGGTGAAATAGTGCGTTGACATCTTCTGTTGTGTATCACTTAACTGAAAGCATTAGGTCTACAAGAGGTGTCACCTTCAAACATCATCTTCAGGCCGTGGAGTGTAAAACCGTTCATTGTTTTTTTAGTTACAGTTGCCATGTGATGCCTCCTGATATTTTTGTTGAGTGAGTGAGTGATAATATCAGGGCAATACCGAGTGGGCAGTGACACAGTTCATTAGGGTCACTTCACTGTAACATCATACGAACTATCAATGCATTAACATCTTTTTAAGATCCTTCAAAACCTTATTGTCCAATAAGGTATCGGAAAAAATAAGGAAAAACATTACACAAATAAAAGGAATTGTTCGATGACGACTATTTCATACGCATCTGTACAAATACACACATGACAACATGCTCGCACACAAGATAGTGTGAAGTACTCGGATAGCCTCGTCACATTGGTTGTAATCAAGTTTCAACTTTAATTTCAAACAAACATACATACATACATACATACATACATACATACATACATACATACATACATACATACATACATACATACATACATGACCGCCTCCGTGGTCTAGTGGTAGAGCGTCCGCCCGGAGAGCGGAAGGTCCGGGGTTCGATCCCCGGCCGCGTCAAACCAAAAGACGTCAAAAGATGGTACTTGTTGTTACCCTGTCTGGCGCTCGGCATTAAGGGGCTAAAACAAGGACTGGTCGGCTCGGAGTCAGTATACTGTGTCTGAGTGGGGTATTCATGTTAAACTGCGGCATGGTATCTCAGTGAGCTAGCACTATAAATCGGCATCAGTCCGGACTAGTACAAGCAGCCACACAAACACACACACGTACATGCACGTCGCTATATAAGTGCAATAATCTTGGACGCGACGTTACACCCCATTTCACCTCACCTCACCACATACATACATACATACATACATACATACATACATACATACATACATACATACTCGTTTACAGTGCAAATATTCAACAAATTTAACCTGGCTTAGAAAAGTAGATATGGAATTAGGTATGAAACTGAACAGTTCACCTATAAAGTGAACAATTTGCAAGAAGACCTCTGATCCTCCTCCGTTTGACGTGATTCATGCACACGAGAAATAACATAACAATGTTTGAGGTTGTAATTAGGAGATAACCATACCATACCTCGCTAAATTTAACATTTGAAACCTCACGCTGCGCGTTCGGTTCCAAATTCAATTTAGCGGGGTTAAATCTACAGGTAACCTAGCTCTACATCGAAAACACAGTATGTTTATCTCCATTCTATCATGACTAAATAAAACGCGAACTCTTTGGTGTAAGCAAATATACTGAGTGAAGAGTCCAGTGTTTTGAGTGGGTTATCGATCTGAATTGCGGAATCACCGAACAAAATATGACGTTGTATGTACTCAAGCAGTTTCTTTACACCGTTATATACTAGCCACATAAAGAAACTGTGCACGGAGAAAATATATTCTGGATTGAAATACAACACAGCAAGAACAAAATGATGCAGACGCTGTAGCAGCTGAATGATCGGACCATAGGAAAATGTTAACGGGACCTGAACAACATCTGTTACGATGACGTCAGAAGATCAAAATGGAGTAGGGGGTCAAACGACAAAGTCACAAAGTCAATAACGGGTATGACCACCCTGTGCGTGAATCACAGCAGTGCATCGGCGACGCATGGAGTCCACCAAATGGGCACGGAAGGTCTGGGGAATGGCCTGCCATATCCTCCTCAAATCCTGTGCCAAGTCACGGACGTTATCTGGAGGATGTGGAAGACGACGCAGACGGCGCTCCATTTCATCCCACACATGCTCTATTGGGGAGAGATCTGGATAATTTGCAGGCCATGGCAGTAACATGACATTGTTATGGTGAAGGAAATCCATTGCGACAATAGCCGTGTGAGGACGAGCGTTGTCCTGTTGAAATGTCAATCCCGGGCCATGACGTTGCAGGAAAGGAATGACCACAGGCCTCAGAATCTGATCTCTGTAGCCAACACCGGTGAGATTGCCCTGAACAACCACCAAAGGGGTTCGGTGCCGCGCTGTTGTCCCACCCCAAATCATCACAGAGCCACCTCCAAAACGATTCCTCTCCACAATGCAGTTGCGTGCATAACGTTCTCCCAAACGCCGGTAGACACGTTGGCGCCCGTCACTGTGGGACATGTTGAACCTCGATTCATCTGTAAAGACAACATTTCTCCACCATATTCGAGGTTGGCGAGCATGATTTCGACACCATCTTAGACGGTTGACTCGATGACGGTGTGTCAGGATGGGACGTATGGCAGGGCGTCGTGGTCGAATCCCGTACTGACGTAAACGATTCCTGACAGTGTTGGGGTGGATACGGCGCAGTCCAGGAATTGTCTGGGACGTCGTTACTGCCGTTTGGAACCTGTGTCGGAGATGTGTAACTCGAATCCATCTGTCCTGTCTTGGCGTCGTTACTCGGGGACGTCCTGAACGTGGGTGGTCGGCAACGTCATTTGTGTTCTGATAACGCCTCACCAATGCCGATATCATGTTACGATGGTATTGGAAATGTGTTGCCACCTGTTGTTGCCTCATTCCCGCTCGGATCATTCCAATGGCTTGATGACGCTGTGCAGCTGTCAATCTTGGCATGATTTGCTTGTGATATGCTTGTGTCTGCGCCTGAGAAGTTTTGCATTTTTGAATGACCACAGATCATGCTTTCCAAAGTGACAGCGAATTTTGAGTTGCACATACTGTGTACAGCTGCACAGGATGCACGTGCAGTAACACATTGCACGTCCATAGGCCCCCATCAATGACGTCATATCGCATGGCACGTGCATGAGCGTTTGAATGTCTCCAATAATTGCTGTGTTCAAACCTACATTTCATATATGGACGGTGTGCCCTTATATCCATATTTTCTCCGTGCACAGTTTCTTTATGTGGCTAGTATACTTCACTCGAACATATGACAGGCATTGAAAGCATACAAGCACGGCAACTTGGTAAGCTAACATGAGGTGGGCATCCCTAAAGAAAACAAAGCAAGCTTTGCAAGGCTTTCGCTCTACATCGCGCGTCACCATTATGACGTCATATCGCTCATTGTGACGCAAAAGATATGACGTCAGTAGTCGTATATAGAAAAGCGCCAAAATCCCAAGCTCCCTGTGGTTCCCAAAACGTAAATACATTCCCTTTGTAGATTTCTATCGTGTTTTCTACATGAAATGTATTGCCACACAACCTTTGAATATTGTTGTCACCGCATCTGTGCATATTGTAGCCTGTAATTGTAGAAATAATTATTTCAATATGCCTACCGACAATGACTGAAAATAGTACTATTCTATGAATATTAGCTTCCGCGGTGATGCGGGCGTCAAACCGGCTGTTCCAATCAGAAAAGTTTATTGAGTTCATTTCCCGACGTTTTGGAATTGTTATGTTATGAATGTACAATGTAAATGCACACATTTCCAAGTAATTTTCCATATAATTTGGTTATATATACATGTGTGCCTAGTTTGGGAATGTTTGGAATGCACACATTCATGAAACTCCCAATGGTACATAGATATATACGGGGGCACGGGAGGCCCAGTCGTCTAGGGCGCCCCGATTCGCTGTGCAGAGTTGCGTCCCTTGGGCAAGCCAGAAACCTATGATTGTGGGTTCGAATCCCGGTTCGTCCCGATTATGTTTCTAGGTTTGTCAGCACCATACCCGTGCTCGTGGGTTTCACCGAAGTGGTAAACGTCATCACTTCGGACTTTCCTCGGGCATTAAGCTGACACGCCGTGATATCACTGGAATACTGTTAAAAGCGACGTTAAACCGAACTCACTCACTCACTATAAATATATACAAAAACAGAGTCAAGACATTGTCAAAACTCCTTACAAGATATTTCGCCGCTCAACGGCTTTTCAGGTGTGATGAAAACTTTAACGTACATTGTAGTCATAGGTGACAAACAACAGCAGTATTTGTGGTTGGTTCGATTCCCTTCATGGGAACAATGTGTGAAGCCCATTTCTGTTGTCCCGGCCGTGATATTGCTTGAACATTACTCAAAGCGGCGTAAAACCATACTCACTCCCTCATTCTCTCATTGTTCAAAACTGTGTCATTCTCGTGTCTAAGACCCTGATCCCCTGCCAAAACCAGCTTGCGTTAGTCCGTCTGGAGCTGGAGGTGGTTCTCTAAACACTGATGTCCTCATTGTATCAAAGTGGAGTTGGACCAAGTTTCAACAGCAAATTATCCATAATTAGCAGTGTCAACTTCTGTCTGTGCACCTCCAGTGCACGCAGCCTTTCTTCTCTCTGGGGGCACGGGTGGCCCAGTCGTCTCAGGCGCCGCGATTCGCTGTGCAGAGTTGCGTCCCTTGGGAACGCCAGAAACGCCATGATTGTGGGTTCGAATTCCGGTTCGCCCCGATTATGTTTCTACGTTTGTCAGCACCATACCCGTGCTCGTGGGTTTCACCGAAGTGGTAAACGTCTGAGACCTGCATCACTTCGGGCTTTCCTCCCACATTAATCTGACACGCCGTGATAAAACCCGAATAAGGTTAAAAGCGGCGTTAAACACAACTCACTCACTTTCTTCCCTCTGTTCATCGATTATTTGAAGCCTGCATTGTACGCTCATCTACCACCATGAAGGATAGAGAGGAAAGATAACTAACTATTGCATTCGCCATACCTAATCATGGTATTGCCTGTCATTGTTTAAGTGTTTAAGAGGTCGCCTTCTGCCTTAACAATTTCGGCTGACCTGTCCCTTTTTGGGACTCATGTTGGTGAGAAGGGTACACATATCTCTTGTGAGTTTGGTATTCACATATTTTCTGTTTTTGTTTTGATATGATTTCTCTTTTCGTATATTGATATATTTTCATTTTTATCCTTGGCTGCTCTGTTTATATACGTTCGAGTAGCTGTCCATCTCTCAGAAATAGAGTTAGTTTGGCCTTCGCTATTGCATCTCTTGGCTTTAAGAGATCTACGACAGATAGCGGATCTACCTGCAATTCTTGTTTTAACCGAGCCCGGGATGGGGCGTGGTCTTGACATTCCAGTAACAAGTGAGCAATGGATTCAGCCTGATTGCAAGATGAACAAACCTTGTCATAGTGTATTTTGTAACCGAGTCTGAGGCGTGAGATGGCAATTTCAACTTTCTTGTCATTTGAGTATGAGTTTGGCATTTGTTGGATCTTGGGTTAAATTTTGTATAGCCATCTGCAGATCTTACTTTCGTCCCACTGGGCTTGCCAACTTTGGGTTATAGAGGTTTTAATTTTGATTTTTATCTCTCGTTTATTTAAGGGAGTAGGTGGTGACTTGAAGTGCACTTAGTGAGACTGATAAGAAGACTTTGCTTTCACAAATTCCTGTATGAGTTTGAGTGCATGATGAATTGCCTCCAATTCAGCAGTGAATACTGTCAGACCGTCAGGCAGGCGAACTGAATGTGCTTTGGGTTTAGAGCTGTGGATATGGATCCTGTAACGTTAGCGTCATTGTGTTGTGTTTCAATTTCAAGTTCAGCAATTCTAGGTCTAACTGAAACACTTTTACTTAATTGCTCCAAGTATTAAATAGTAAGTAGTGAAAACGCCGTAATATAAGGTTACGTCAGTTGCGAAGTTTAAGAAACGGATATGTAGTAGACTCAGAACCTAGCCAATTTAAAAACCTCAATCTGAGGAAATCGCGTCATTAACGGTAATAACAATACCAAGGCGAAGCAAGGGGACCAAGTAACGGTTATCATGACCTGCATGTACGATCTGAATTCTGGATAAATGTTCCAAGTTATAATACGACTACAGCGTCGATAGGACTGCTATTGATATTTTATGTATTGTGCATTCACTGGTGGGAAGAGAAAAAAAGGTTGGGTGCCGTTTGGATACGCTAATTTCACCTGGCAAAAGAAGCCCCGTTCAATCTTATTCGAGACGTCGTTGGCAATGGAAATGTCATCGTGACAAAAAAAAATCAAATCTGTTTTGAGGTAAAGAATTATTACCAGATCAAAATATTGTCGCCCAGATCTTTCAGTGAATGTGCCTTTGAAATCTTATCATTTTTAATTTATTATTGGATACAATATTGGATACAAATGGTTATGAAATGATTTTCAAAAATAATGCACGAATGCATACAACGCCCCGTTTTATGGTAACGCTGTCTAGACTCACGTATTTCTCTCGTTCTCGATTTATCTTTGAGACACAATATAAAATTCAGTCTGTAAACGTTTGTACAAGTGATCTTTGTTCATAACGCAACTGTATAGTTATTTGATTACATAGAAACGCTCAGCATAGCAAATCATAATCTCGATGCACATGCAGGTGTGAGGAGTGTCCCCCATACATTCCGCATTCACAATATTCAAAACCTTTACATAACACGACCTCTTAGCTACGCTTTAAGTGCAAGGCACATGTGAAGGTTGACCATTGCAGATCGTTACATCGTCAATGCAAACGTCGTAGTCAAAACATCAAAAAGCGGCGCGTAAATGGGGTTATTTTTTACTTTAGTTCTGTCTGTCAATTTCAAAGGCTGAAACGAAAATAGAGCGGAGACTGTGTAAAAACAGGCTCCATAAATTATCTCTAGTCCTAAAGAATTACACGCCAGATCATACAAGTCCGCTGTTTGCACACTGACAAGCAAGGCTCCGTTCAAGGCCATGATCGGCTGCGCACGTCCAAAACAAATAGAACCCACCTTCACCTTTTTTAACCCTCAGACTTTCTCCTATTTACAATCAAAAGGCGACTATGCTTGTCGTAAGAGGCGACTAACGGGATCGGGTGGTCAGGCTCGCTGACTTGGTTGAAACATGTCATCAATAAATCCCAATTGCGTGGATCGATGCTCATGATATTAATCACATGATTGTCTGGTGCAGATTTGATTATTTACAGACCGCCGTCATATAGCTGGAATATGTCTGAGTGCGGCGTAAAACAACCAACCAACCAACCACAATTAAACAATGATCGTTTGTATGATTTTACTATTTGGTGAGAAAACATGTGCGAAACATGTTATTTCTTTAGTTGGGTATATTCGTGTTCCCATCTTGGGGGCGCCTAAGGCGCCGCGATTCAATTTAAAAGAGATCAATTTAAAAGAGATCAATTTAAAAGGTGAAACCAAACTTTACAAAAAGAGAATAATTCATTTACAGTACATAAATTCTTAGGATCAACAACTTGTCAGATTAAAGAAATATTGCTACTCGGTACCGTATAGTGAACTTTATACAGTGTTTATGCGACTCTTTTAATATTTTAAAGCAATTGCCTGACACATGAATGTGCTTGATCCCTGCATCTTCCAAATTGCATGATGTGGGTTCATAAAGGTTTCTTTCCACAGACCGATCTGCGTCAGTACCTGGCTCTACAACGGACCAGCACAACAAGTTCACATTCACAGCACCTGCGAGTATAACAAAGGGAAACAACAATCGCATCAATGTCCTCCAAGTTACAGAGATGCTACACGCGTAAGCATGCTTCAAAATTGACCTTTATACCATTTGGTGACATCGAGTGTTAAAGTTAGTGTAGACACATTTAAAAGTAAAGTAAACTTTGATTCGTAACGAGAAACAACGCGTGTATTCATCACTGTGCATGATGTCTTAAAACCCATTGATCTAATATAATCCCATCAGTAAAATGATCAAATAAAAGCAACAAAACCCTTTCCCTTAAAAGCAGAGTCAATTATACGAGTCCGGCTATATCATGAGCATGTGTTTATGGATCACTATCAAATAGACATGTAGATGGCTTGTCCAAGTGTGAGTGAGTGAGTGAGCGAGTTTTAGCAATATTCCAGCAACGTGGCGGGGGACATCAGAAATGGGTTTCACACGTTGTATCCATGTAGGGAATCGAACCCGGTCCTTCAACGCTTTAACCACTAGGCAACCCCACCACCCCTCCAAATGTGACGCATCAGTGACTAAAATGATATCTGATAAAATTCCCTATTTTGGCTTGTACTATATGGTCCCGTGTGTGTTCAGGCGAATATTTGACTTGCTTTGGCATATGTTTGTGAAGCATGCCACCATTGGAGCAGGATATATTCACCTTTGTATTTCCACTGTTTCTATTTGATAGTGATTCATCTACATACTAGTATGCATATGATGTAGTTGGAGTCTTACTTTTATCATATTTTTAGCAGAATCATACTTTTATCAGAATCACACTTTTAGCAGAATCACACTTTTATCAGAATCATTCTTTTAGCAGAATGACACTTTTATCAGAATGACACTTTTAGCAGAATCACACTTTTATCAGAATCATACTTTTAGCAGAATCATATTTTTAGCAAATTCACACTTTAAGCAGAATAATACTTTTAGCAGAATCACACTTTTAGCAGAATCACACTTTTAGCAGAATCATACTTTTATCAGAATCACACTTTTATCAGAATCACACTTTTAGCAGAATCATACTTTTAGCAGAATCATACTTTTAGCAAATTCACACTTTAAGCAGAATAATACTTTTAGCAGAATCATACTTTTAGCAGATTTCTTGTGATTATGGCAAGGGTTTTCTCACTTTTATTGTAATTATTCAATGGTTATTGGGCTACCTTTTCATGATCAATTGCTTCTTCTGCCTCCTTGCATCATATGGGATTAAAGCCTTGTGGCTACCTGTTGAAACAGTGCTATTATGCCAATTTCCCTTGACGTATCAGTGGAACCTCAAATATGTTTCAGAATGAGGTCACTGTCACATATAGATATATCCAAAAGATAGACAGACGTTGAGGGTGTATGCAATATTAAGCATGAGTAGTGCGTAACCTTTTTACATATGTATAATGTAATCAATGAAGAAAGTCGGCATGACTTTTCATCATGATTTTTGTTTCAAAGCCTTGTGTATAGATATGAAGTGGAATTGAGTGAGTGAGTAAGGTTTGACGCCGCTTTTAGCAATATTCCAGAACTATCACGGCGTGGGACACGAGAAATGGACTAATGGTACCTGTGTGGGGAATCGGCCTGACGAGCGGACGCTTTAACCACTTGGCCACCGCCTTAAAGTGGGATTGAACATTAATACTAGTGTAGTTAGCGTGATATAACTCGACATAATCAATCTAGTTCATGTCTATATTCACGGCGAGGGTTGCGCAAACCCAAACAAAATGTAATATGTAAGTGTATCTTTTCATGTTTTAAATTACACAATGTTTTTCATGGTACACCGACTTGTCTACTGTTCTGTTTTAAATTGTTTTGTCTTCATGCTAATAACGTAGGTTTGTGTGTATCAGGGTCCTTCGTAACAATTCGTAAGAGTGAGTGAGTGAGTTGGGTTTAACGCCGCTTTTAACAGTATTCCAGTTATATCACGGCGTGTCAGCTTAATGTGGGAGGAAAGCCCGAAGTGATGCAGGTCTCAGACGTTTACCACTTCGGTGAAACCCACGAGCACGGGTATGGTGCTGACAAACCTAGAAACATAATCGGGGAGAACCGGGATTCGAACCCACAATCATAGGTTTCTGGCGTGACCAAGGGACGCAACTCTGCACAGACGACTGGGCCACCCGTGCCCCCAATTCGTAAGAGGTTTTGCTTCGACGACTGTCGGAATGCATTACTTTAATGTTTATTCGGGGTGTAGGTGTGAAAATGCTCCTGCTAAGAAAAACAGTTTATGTATGGCAGTTTATATCATCATTCGCTGCATGCCATGAAACTGGCGTATCATTAGGTACGTGCCATGAAACCGGGATTGCATAAGGTACGTGCCATGACACTGACGTATCATTAGGTACGTGCCATGAAACCGGGATTTCATAAGGTACGTGCCATGAAACTGACTTATCATTAGGTACGTGCTATGAAACTGGCGTATTGTTAGGTACGTGCCATGAAACGGGGATATCATTAGGCACGTGCCATGAAACTTAGATATCATTCGGTACATGCCATGAAACTGGCGTATCATTAGGTACGTGTCATGAAACTGGCGTATCATTAGATACGTGCTATGAAACTGACTTATCATTAGGTACGTGCCCTGAAACTGGCGTATCATTAGGTACGTGCCATGAAACCGGGATATCATTAGGTACATGCCATGAAACCGGGATATCATTAGGTATGTGCCATGAAACTGACGTATCATTAGGTATGTGCCATGAAACTGACTTATCATTAGGAACGTGCTATGAAACTGGCGTATCATTAGGTACGTGTCATGAAACTGGCGTATCATTAGATACGTGCTATGAAACTGACTTATCATTAGGTACGTGCCCTGAAACTGGCGTATCATTAGGTACGTGCCATGAAACCGGGATATCATTAGGTACATGCCATGAAACCGGGATATCATTAGGTATGTGCCATGAAACTGACGTATCATTAGGTATGTGCCATGAAACTGACTTATCATTAGGTACGTGCTATGAAACTGGCGTATTGTTAGGTACGTGCCATGAAACGGGGATATCATTAGGCACGTGCCATGAAACTTAGATATCATTCGGTACATGTCATGAAACTGGCGTATCATAAGGTACGTGTCATGAAACTGGCGTATCATTAGATACGTGCTATGAAACTGACGTATCATTGGGTACGTGCCATGAAACTGGCATATCATTAGGTACGTGCCATGAGACCGGGATATCATTAGGTATGTGCCATGAAACTGACGTATCATTAGGTACCTGCCATGAGACCGGGATATCATTAGGTATGTGCCATGAAACTGACGTATCATTAGGTACGTGCTATGAAACCGGGATATCATTAGGTATTTGCCATGAAACTGACGTATCATAAGGTACGTGCCATGAAACTGGGATATCATTAGGTACGTGCCACGAAAGTGGCGTAGCATCAGGTACGTACCATGAAACTGACGTATCATTAGGTACGTGCAATGAAACTGGCGTGTCGATCATTAAGGTACGTGGCATGAAACTTTTACAAACCTGTTTAGGTTATGAATTCTCTGATGAAATCCTCCTTGGGGCACTTATTGTATTTTCCTTGATCAAGAAAATCTACATGACATAGTTGTAACCATTTTCCTTAATAAAAAATGTTACCACACAAAAAACTTCGTATACAACCACCCTTACGGGGCCTCACACACACACACACACACACACACACACACACACACACACACACACACACACACACACACACACACACACACACACACACACACACACACACACACACACACACACACACCACACACACACCACACACACACACACGCTTGTGACGTAGCCACTGCTTTAACCGAATGAGCCTTCAACCTGGTAGGGGGGTCCCTGCCTGTAAGCGTATACGCTGTACAAATGGTTGAAACTATCCACCTCGAGATAGATTGTTTGTTCGCAGGTGAGCCAGCCTTCCTACCGCCGTAACAGCAAAATAGTTGGTTATCCTTACGGATACCCATAGTTCTGCTGATATAGGCCTTGAGGGTCCTGCGGACATCCAAGACATGAGCATGTCACTAGAGCCTTGTACGAGCAGTGTGACTTGCACATAAGGAACTTGATATCCTGTGACAGAGATACACGTCCTCTCACCGTGTTGAAATTCGCCCCTAGGAAGACTAGATTCTGAGTGGGGCTCAGATCTGACTTCTTGAGATTGACTATCCACCCTAGAGTGATCAGAATGTCTATCACTTCTTGTGTAGCTATCTGACTCAGGGATTGCGATAGAGCTCTTAGTTACCAGTCGTCGAGGTACGGATGGCAGAACCGACCTTTCGACCTGGCCACTTTGGCAGGAATCAATATCAGCTTGGTGAACACCCTCGGGGCCGTGGAGATCCCGAATGGTAGAACCCTGAACTGATAACACCTCCCGTCGAAAGAAAACCTCACTAGACAGGTATGAACTCGGGGTGTATGGGTATGTGGAGATTTTAGGTCTATTGACGTTAGCCATTCTCCTGTCTCGACAGTTGAGATCACTGTTTGGTGACTTGGAAATAAGTCGAGTAGAAGCCCTCGCTTTCCTGTCCCTCGGGACCCGGGTCGATCGCAGCTTTCATAAGAAGTGCGTCGACCTCGGCACGGAGGAATTCCGCCTTCTCTCGGATAGCAGGCACCGGAGTGTGCTTGAGGCAGTGGACCCCGGCTGTCGGCAGTTCGATAACTTGCGACCGTGGGTCCACCCGGGGCTCTTCGGGCGCTAATGGGAACCCGATGGGTTCCCAGCCCCGCGAAAAAGCTGCTGGCCTCGACCAGCTGCCTTGCCCCGGCCCCCGCCTCTCTTGCTCCTCCCGGAGCCCTTACCTGAAGGAAGAGCTGCATCCAAGCAGGTGTGGACTTCTGACCCGGTGCGTCAGCGTAGGAGGGGTCAAGTGGAGAGGCCCGCTTACGCGGTTTTAACGCTTGGTACCTCCAACAAGGCCTTACAGTCTTTGAGGGAAGCATACAATTGAGCGGCCTCTCGGACCACCTGCTGAGCCCCAGGGAAGA